ATAGTGCATTCCGACTCAATGCGCTTGGATGTTAGTTAGCTAAATGAAAAACCAAAGATTTATTTTTATTCCAGCCTGCTCTGATGTCAATCTTTAAAAAACTTAATTTTGCAAAACAAGGTATGAAAAAAGCCTCGCTATTGCATCCAATTCAAGGGTACACGGTAAGAATATAGAAAATCCTATTGTTGGTGCATCAATTAATTGGCAAGGGGTTAATATTGTTTTGTTAAAATATTCAATTAGAAGTTAATAATTTACTTCAATACAGAGTAACAATGATGGTACCAGAGGGTTCCCGATGGGGGGGGGGGGAGTGGTCAAAGAACCTTAACAGTGGATCAAGTCCCCAGAGGAAATGTCCAATATCCCCAATAGCGAGTCTACATCCACCTTCAAAGACGAGGAAAATTTTAAGAATATGCATCACCTCCAGATGACCAGAAATGGACCTCTCAAATTGCGAAAATGCTATTCAAAGCAAAGTCCCCCAAGGAAATAATCAATGTCTTCCCCTACAGATGGTCTGTGATTTCTGGACAGGGCCCCCTGCTGCCGTCACTACAAGGTAAGCCATTCAAATACAGAAATTTATAAAGAAAAAAAAGATATATACCGGTACACACAATACAGAAAGTTTTTTTAATTGCGCAACAACTGTAAGATCTAGGACATAACATCACAGTCACCTATACATGAAATGACTCACAAAAGTTCTCAGAGCCTGAATTCTAGGACATGGTTTTGGTCAAATCTATGCTGTGCAGAGAACATAGGACAATGAAAGACAAGTGAATACGTCCTAAGTTCACATTGTCGTCACAATAAAAAACAAATCCTAATTGAAAAGATCACATCACCACAATTCATAATTTTGCATAATTCATATAAAATTATTCTTATTAATCTAGTTTTCAAACTAAAAAATCAGCTTTTAACTGTACCAGCACATTACAAAACTTTCATCATTAATTACATCTCATTTAATTTGTAAAATAAGGAGAAACACTTAGCTAAAATATTTTAAGTTTCTCACTCGTGGCTAGTTACTTTCGGTTGAACAAAATATCCTACAAGGAATCTGGCCTAGGCCCAGTTAGTTTCCTTAAAACTCTACAACCCAAGATGACAGGGACTCAACAGATGCTGGCACGCCCATGTTAGATCCTTGATTAGCACCAAGGATACAACCTTGGTCAGCTCTGAAGGCATATCCTTATAACACGATTTTGATGCCAGGTTTAGAGTGCAGAAAACCAATATTTTGAAGATTTTTCTATTATATTCTTTTGAAATTTTCCAGTTCATCATTTTCACATGCGTGCATAGACTATAATAGTATTTTGCACTAAAAATGTTACATTTTACCACTAATTAAACAAGTAACCGTTAAACATGATGCATTTTGGGTAATAAATTTATTACCTAATTGCCACAATAAGGCACAAAAAAATTCAGTGACTTGCAGAGATCGCATAGAAATAACTTACAATAATTTTATAAACCATTTATATATAACAATTTGAAGAGCTGCACACTATTAATAAATACAGTATATTAAAAAACATATGATTTCTGAAACTTTTACAACATATTAGTTGGCTTAAAACTTTATTAACTATACAAAAAATGATAAAAGGCAATAAATTACATTAGATATATACCGGTACACACAATACAGAAAGTTTTTTTAATTGCGCAACAACTGTAAGATCTAGGACATAACATCACATAGTCACCTATACATGAAATGACTCACAAAAGTTCTCGGAGCCTGAATTCTAGGACATGGTTTTGGTCAAATCTATGCTGTGCAGAGAACATAGGACAATGAAAGACGAGTGAATACGTCCTAAGTTCACATTGTCGTCACAATAAAAAACAAATCCTAATTGAAAAGATCACATCACCACAATTCATAATTTTGCATAATTCATATAAAATTATTCTTATAAATCTGGTTTTCAAACTAAACAATCAGCTTTTAACTGTACCAGCACATTACAAAACTTTCATCATTAATTACATCTCATTTCATTTGTAAAATAAGGAGAAACACTTAGCTAAAATATTTTAAGTTTCTCACTCGTGGCTAGTTACTTTCGGTTGAACAAAATATGCTACAAGGAATCTGGCCTAGGCCCAGTTAGTTTCCTTAAAACTCTACAACCCAAGATGACAGGGACTCAACAGATGCTGGCGCGCCCATGTTAGATCCTTGATTAGCACCAAGGATACAACCTTGGTCAGCGCTGAAGGCATATCCTTATAACAAAATTTTGATGCCAGGTTTTAAGAGTGCAGAAAACCAATATTTTGAAGATTTTTCTATTATATTCTTTTGAAATTTTCCAGTTCATCATTTTCACATGCGTGCATAGACTATAATAGTATTTTGCACTAAAAATGTTACATTTTACCACTAATTAAACAAGTAACCGTTAAACATGATGCATTTTGGGTAATAAATTTATTACCTAATTGCCACAATAAGGCACAAAAAAATTCAGTGACTTGCAGAGATCGCATAGAAATAACTTACAATAATTTTATAAACCATTTATATATAACAATTTGAAGAGCTGCACACTATTAATAAATACAGTATATTAAAAAACATATGTTTTCTGACACTTTTACAACATATTAGTTGGCTTAAAACTTTATTAACTATACAAAAAATGATAAAAGGCAATAAATTACATTCACAATTTTGAGATTCAAGTTTATTAAAGATACACCATCTGTCAAAAAATGAGGAAATAATTAAAAATACAGTTTAATAGCTCATATAGATCAAATATTCATTATAAAAATACCTCTCAATACAAAAATCCTTATTGATTGCCTGCCGATTTAAAGTCAAGTTCCGGATGAAGGGGTGTTTGAAGAATTAGGAACAGCTAATAAAATACAAATTTTGAAAATTGAATAATTGAAAAAAACTATTATTATTACCCCTTTCCCTCTTTTTTATTTTTAAAAATGTATGTTATTAGGCATTCCCAATTAGTCCTTAAACACCCTTCAATGTCTTAGAATATATATTTGTAAAATATATCAAATCCCATCCCTCCCCACCCCCACCCCAAAAAAAAAAGCCTGACCTTAAGGGTTTAATATAAGAGATTATAGAAAAGGTGTAATTTGGCATAGAAAATGAATTAATTTTCTACTGGAAGCAACAACTAACATAAATATACAAAGTGATCAATTTAAATATTGAATATATATTTTTAGTGCATTACAGATGGCATACCTTTAATATGACAAAAAAATATATACTTCTGTCTTTCTATAGTGACCAACACATCAGAATCACGTCTCCCTCCAATTAAAGATCGCTTTTGGGACAGTGGTTTGCAGGGTTTTTAGCAGCATTGGCCTTTAATTGGACAAAATATTCATATTAAGGTAGGTAGGTGCTTACAGTACTGTATTGGGGAAGGAGGGGCCACAGAAAAGTAGTCTTTAAATTGGAGGTGGCCTTTAATTGGAGGGATTTTAATTAGAGGGGTCTTTAATTAGAGGAAGACCTGCAATTATATCTTGTGATTCATTTTAAAACAAATAAGTCACAAAGATAATAATGATGTCTGACTCTACTCTAAAACTGTCCAGGTTTTCAATTTTTCTTTGACAAAAAACTGTTGTATTCCCATATATAGTCATGATGTGCCTATATATGGCAGGGGCGGATTTAGGGGTGGGCCGGCCCGGCCCCGGCCCCCCCTTTTGGGAGGTAAAAAAAAAGGAAAAAAAAGAAAAAAAAGAGAGAAAAAGAAAAAAATGATAGCCCAGAATGCCTCAAATGTTATGTTCGGGCGTCTAGAACACAACAATTTCGTGGGTGCATGCCCCAGGACCCCTACGACAGTGTTGTCTCAATCGGCCCAACTTTCGGCCCCCGCTTCCGGCCCCCCCTTTTGGACATTTCTGGATCCGCCCCTGTATGGTTATGATGTGATGTCATCATGACCATATTTAGGCATGTCACATGTTTTTGTCAAATAAAATTTGATAGTCTGGACAGGGCTTAAAATATTAAAAAACATTGGTTTATTTCGGCAACTAAAATGCTTCTCTTCCAAGAGACTTGCATGAAGAGGCTAACATTACACTACACTATAGTGGTGCACCACCCAAAAAATTAACAGAAAAAAAATAATTGAATTGATCAATTAAAAAAGCAACCACAGCTTCAACTTTCACAAAGAAACAGATAAAAAAAAATGATGATGATTTAATATGGAAATCCCTAATTTGTTTTTTCTATAAATTTATCGCACCTGTTATCCAAAAACTGTAGGAATGATATTTTCTAAATGTCTGTAAACTGCAAAAAAAAAATCTGTTTTTTAATAATGCAATTTTTAAAAATATTTTCAAGTCTGTACTTGGATTTAAGTGGCAGTTATAAGTTATTGGCTAGACTATCAAAATTAATTTGACAAAAAACTCACGTATACACATATATAGTCATGATGTGATGTCTTCATGACCATATTTAGGAATGTCACATAATTATTTTTGTCAAGTAAAATTTAATAGTCTGGCCAAAGTTTTACTGTAGTCACATGTTTTAAGCACATACTTTTCATTTCCTGTTCCTACCACCCTCTGGTTTTTGTTCTATTAAATCTAGAAGCACATAATAACCTTCTAACGACATACCATCAATGTGCAATCCTTCAAAAAAATCCATTTAAAAAATTGAATTGCTTATTTAAAAAAAAAAAAAAGAAAGTTTTCCCTTTCATAAGATGTTGATCCAAACAATTCTGATTTCGAAACATCTCACTCAGAAAATTTATAAATTGAGTATTAGCCACATACAAGGACCTATGCATTGACTGTCACAACACCATGTGATTCCCAATGGTTATTGAGCAATGCCACCAAAGTTGTATGTAGTAAACATAAGCCTATGGTCCCAACCAGGTTGGTAACTATGATAGTTATAGATAGTGAGTTTTCATGTTTTTATCAGATTTTTATTCAGAAATTAAGTTTTGATAATTCAGTTAAAAAAGCTAAAAAAAATTGTAGCTACTTAGGTAGTTGCTTAGTAACAAAGAGTTGCCACATGATTGAGTGATGTCGTGATGTGGTACTTTATAAGAATAGCGTTATCTATGCATCAGTTTATTGGCAAGAAAAATATTTTCTCAAAACTAATTATTGTATTCCATTCTACAGCATACCTTGGAATATAAGAAACAGTGGCGTATCTAGAAGGTGTGCACGCCCATCCCAAAAAAAACTTATGCCCCCCCCCCCAGCTGCCTCCACCCCACTAAAAATTTTTAAAAAATTACACTCATATGTCACCTTATTTTGCAAGAAAACATGCTCTTCTTGCTTAATCGTTGAGCCCCCTCCCCAGCTCACCTTTCCCCCTATCAGCCCCCATTTTAAGAATCCCTGATACACCACTGATGGGAAATAGTAAGATTATAAAGTATTTTCCTCTCTATCTGTATAAGAACGATTGCTTAAATTTTATGTGCAAGATATGATTTTTAGAAAAACAATTAAGATAAAAACATTTACATACTGTACTTCAAAATTTAGGCAATTATATTCCTGGTTCTTTTTTTTATAGAAAATTCAGTATCGTGTGAAAATACGATCTAATAAATACATGTTGCACAATTTCTAACATTGCACCGATGAGGAGTCTACATGGTTATGTGAATGTAAGATCCTGGTCTCCACGGAAATTAAATTTCAACTAAAACGTTGAAACAAAGCCACTTTTCCCCGATTATGCTGAAACCAAACCCCAACGCTATGTCACACATTATTTTCGTCTTTTAAACCAACCAACAGAGTTTCATCAATCAAAGTTCTCTCGCTTGAAAATCTCCTTAATCGCCAGATGAACGCACGGAACTTCAATGGACGGAGTTGCTAATTTAGGAACAAAATGAAAATCCCGGTGGCCGTGATCTACTGGATCCTTTTCCAGAACTTCAAGGCTTGTCGTTTTGGAATAAACACCGGTACAAACAAGAACAGATTCCATAACTTCCGCGCAGTTGTGCTCCATATTTTCAATGACAACCTCGCTGGAATCTAGGAAGTTGCTGGAATTGCCACCAATGGCTACAGACTTGGCCTGGCTCATCTGTTGCAATAACTTTGATCCTAAGTATTCATTGTATAGATTAGCCCCATAGATGTCAGTAGCAGGGTTATCTCTGTTGATGAACAAAATTGCGTAACATTTGCATTTAATTGAACAGTAATATTCTAGAATTTTTAATAGGTTCTTTGTGTTTTTTTTTTTAATTCTCAGCCAACAGCAAGTGTCTTTCCTCTTACAGGAGTGATGCTCTGGCAAAAAATGTACTAATCATAAAAAGGTATATATTTCTCAACCAAGATTTGTCGCTTTCACACGACTAAATACAAACCTAATTTATACGCACAGTGAAGTTACATCCAATGCTAAAGTGAAAGATAAAGCTGGACCCAAATAACGCACAGATATTTGCTAAATAACTTTACAGGCCTACTGTACTTTTGTCTGTCTTTTTACCAAGATATCTTGATGATAATAATAAGCCAATTAATACCCAATTCACAGGACAGAAAATGTACTATTATTATAGAAATATCCGTTCTGATATTTCCCTGCCAAGATTCATCAGTTTCACACTAAATAAATTTGCTAATAGTTGGTACAGCATAATCGATACGCAGAAAATGAATATACATGCCCCATGACCGTGCACACTGACCATTTGGTTTTTGAAGCTTTTTGAATTATTCTTTGTAACTCGTCACCACCCTTTGCTCTTGCTTTTATTGTTGAAGTTTTCTTTCTTTGTGTCTCGTCCTGTTTTTGTGAAGCGCTTTGAGGTTGGATCAAAAGGAGGCGCCATATAAATTAACATTATTATATTTTCTAAATATCTCTAGAACTTAACAGGCCTCCTTCGAAATCTGCTTTTTTATTGAGTTCCTTGGTAAAGGATTTGCATTCTCACAACCGAAATACCCTTTCTAGCTTTGCTGGCTAGAGAAAAAAAATATTTGTGGCACAATTTGGTAACATTTAGTACATTTTTGTTGTTTAGGGGGTGGAGTTGTTAAGTTGCGAGAAAAACTCCTGGTGTATTTGAACCATCGACAGTGGATTCAATCATCTTAACCACCAAGCTATAATTCCACTCTTGTCTCTGTGATTGTTTAATACTAACAAAAAAATCAACTACTGTATAAAAAGTCATCATCACCCCTTTCCCCAAATCAAGAATATGCAACTAGTTGCTTTTTGTGAAGTAGATATACTGTAGGTAATCCAGATGGTCTGTAAAATACCACAGCACCCCATTACCTGTACTGAACACACATGAATTTGCGCTACACTTACCCTATTGCATACAGGGTCCTAATTGGGGACTGGATGCCCATCTTGCGTGCTTGTTGTATAAGAACCGTCTCTGCATAATGGTACGTTATTTCACTAGGTTTGCCAGTCAACACAGTGTACCGTAGTTTATGGCCAGTTATTTTCTACAATGGAAACACAGATTTAAAATATATGGAACAATATATTCTGTAAAATTGTGACAACTATCTACCAATCAAGCCTGCAATGGACATGTTATCTGTAACAATATATCTTGCACACCTCACCCATACATTAAGTACAACTTTGATTGTAGTGAGCACAAGAAATGACAAAGACATTTAATCTTAAACACAGTTGAACTTCCCCTAAGTCAAATCCAAAATGACATTGAAAAATTGTTTGAATTTCATATTAATTAGTGGAAAACACAACAATCTAGCATGTAAAATACTGTAAGATCAATTTAGAAATTATTTGAGTTACGCAAAGTCGACTGAGGCAAGTTTAACTGTATATAATCATATCATGGACTTAAATAGCATTTAAGAAAATTATGTTTAAAAATTATTAAATTCAAAAAGTAGAGTTTAAAAAAAGACCTATCATCAAATGAAAATTAAATTAGTATTATATTTATATAAGCATAATTTAGAAATATTCATCAACACATCAAACCTGATATGAATATAAACACTGTTATAGAAAATAACCAATTTTTAAACCTTTAATCATTTATTTTTATAACTTAAATTGTATATAGTTGGCCACTATTTTTAACTGTAAGTCATATAATCAATAATATTTTCTGTGTATTTTAATTATAATTTTATTTTATAGGCTTAATATTGATCTTAAAATATTGTACGATTTTCACTTCGCTGTACTTTTTGTTTAAAATTTTTCATTGAACTGTCAACAAAACAGATTTCCGCATGAACAATAAAGATTTCTGTATTCTGTATTGTATTCTGTAATTAACTGACATAATTTTAAATTTACAAGAGTGAGGCATCATAAGTAAGCTTACCTGGTACAAAGCTTCAAGGCATAGTAAAAATGATCCATGTCCAATTCTATAAAAACAAAAATAAGTATTGTCATTAGCCATAATATATTTCTGCAATGGTTGTTGTGGGTTCACATTCACATTAGGCAAAAAAAAAAAAAAAAAAAATTTGTGTTCGCACACGTTTTAGGAAAATCCCAAAAATGGGTATGTTGGTAGGGAAAGTTTTTTTTTTATTCATTTTACCGATGTGTTTATGCCTAAAATGTAGAAAATACACCATTTTTAAAATCTATATTAAAGAGCAAAACAATCACATAACACTGTCGTATCGCCTAACAGTCGCAAGAAAAGCCTATTTCAGCTTTTTTAGTTCATTAAAAAAAAATTTTACGTTGTAGTCAATTAAAAAAAAAAAATTATAATAATAATAATAAAATTCTGAACCTCCAATTTCAAACATTTTGGGTTGTTCGAGCATGGCCAACAAAATAACTTTATTTATGTGGCCTTATTAGGGTATTAAAGCCGGTTTTCTCCACTACGCAAGTGAAGTGCAAGTGTTCAAACGTACGCACGCGCAGTTTTGATTTTCATACACAAGTCTTTCAGCAGATTGTTCACTTTTTTGCTGGTGGTGGTTTGCTGGCTAATATTGTTACATGCTATACATAGGAGGTTGAACAATAATGGTGAATCTAGAAAGTAAGTTGATTGGTTTTATTCTCAGTGGATAACCACACATGGTATGTAGAAGAAGAATCCTTCTAATGGCAAGGACTGGGGTTATGGTGGATCACAACACAGGGTTAGACTCCTCTGAACATTTTAAAAGATGTTGGAAGAATAAAATGTACAATATCTTAAATACCAAGCAACAGTTCCACAACAATAAAATTACTAAACCTGACACCCCCATGGAGAATGCAACATGACAAGGCGTATGCAACATTTTTATTAATTATCTGCTCAGTCTACCATCGACAAGTAGCAGACGGCTTTGCGTCGTCAAAGGCTCGCAGAGAGTAGAGATGGATTCATTGACTGATGGTCGTATGGTATAACGCATTGTGTACCTGGCTTACCTTGGTAAATGGGCTTCAGCCATCCATAATAAATCAACATTGCATGCAATGACGGGTAAATGTGTCTTAGGAACCTCCGTGGGTCTGCTATAAAGGCAGCCATTGGTTAGAACAGTGTCAATCACAAGTTGAAGGCTGGTCTCCCATCTGATTGGCTCTCCAAACAAAACAACTGCTTCAATTTGAGGATGATCAATTTTAGGTTTCTCTCCATTCGTCATTTTCTAAAAAAAGTTAGATTAGGAAAACAAAAAAAATATATAGCAAATTTCATGACAAAAAACCCCCAAAAAGATGCAGATTTAAATTCCACAGGCTTTCATAATGGTACAACAAAAATTAAGATACTGGACTTTGAGAATTAAATTGCACAGGCTTTCATGATTTTGATAAAAATTAAGATCCTGGGCTTTGATATTTAAATTGCACAGGCTTTCATGATGGTAAAACATAAATTAAGATGCCAGACTTTGAGGATTGCACAGGCTTTCAAGACTAATATGGATACACAGCCACTTTACAGTGATATCAAATGCAAATCATTTATAGTAATCATTATTATGCTAGCTGTACATTTGCTCCAAAAATATATTGTACAGCTGGTACCAGTCAGCACAAGCATATAAGTGACCGTCTGTGGCAAAACCCTCCCTTTATCGCAATTTCTAATTTCCCACAAGCACCCAAAACGTTAAATAGAATCAGAATTTTGAACATTTTCATGTTTTGCATTTTATAAAAGGAGATATATATTCACGTACATTTCTGCAAAATAATAATCACTAAATCTAAGTGAAAAGTAAATATAAAATTATTTTAAAAATAAAAATCTCTAATAAAAAACTACTGATTTTGGAATCTTTGGAAGCCGATTCTCATAAAAACTATATGGCTAATACCCAATCAATTAAATATTCATAACTTCACTAATACTCAACTGATTTCCATCAAATAAACAGTTTTAAAAAAAGATTTCATGCAGAATATAAAAAAAACCAAAAATTATTAAAATTTTAAATTTTTCCAACAAACAGCTGGTTTTGCTAGAGCTGTCCACATATTATACTGTACGAGGCTATATACAATACAATACATCTGGCATATAAAACAAATATATAATTATTTAAAATGTTATGATCTAGCACTGAAGCAAGAGGATTAACTATATTATACTAAAATCATTTGTTCTAATATCATTGACATATCTAAAAGGAAGGGACATTCACCATCCCCCAAAAAAGCTTGTGCACTCAATCACATCCCATTGGACATCTTTGAATCTAGAAAGTAGTTAAACATCAACTCATACAACCAATATTTTGCCAAATAGCACTCCCTCATTCTATCATCTAGCCGTCCCACTTCACCTTTGCACCACTACCCCATTTTAATACCCCTACTGTGTAATATTGTTTTACCTTAAGTATAGTCCTCCTTGAATGGTCAACAGAATCAAGATGCGGGTACATGTCACGAAGTTCATCAACAGTTGTTATCTTATGAAAACCGAGTCTTTAAAATTGAAATATGATGTTAAGGAAAAAACACACTAAACCAATATACTCAAGATAAACATTGGGCCCAGCAGATGTAGAAATCTATGAAAGGAGAAAATTATGTATGCCATGTATATTGAATGTAAAATTACAAGTGCAGTGGCGGATCCAGGAATTCAAAATAGATGGGGGCCCAGAGAGGGACTTTCATACATGGAAGGTAAAGGCTATGTTCTCACATGGCAGCTAATGGTTAGCAGGAACCAGATCCTGCTAACCGTTAGCTGCCGTGCGTCCATGCGAGAAACTCCCGATCCGGATACCAACAATATGATGATCGAATCACCGGCCAATAAGAAACTGGAAATTGTAAACGTGTACGTGTGATTGGTTGATAATAGAAACGCCCTCAACTTGCTAACCGATAGCGCTTGCTAACTGTTAGCGTATCCGGATACCGCTAACGGTTAGCGCTAACTGATCGGGCATTCTCACGCAGGTGCTAACGGTTAGCTCCCGATCTGGATACTTGGGTTCTCGTGAGAACCAGGCTATAGACAATCTTAGCCCATAATGGTTAGGGCTGAGGTAAGAAAATTTATGATTTTTATAATTTTCAAAAATTTAGGGGAAAAACTGGGCCTCCCTTGAATCTTCCACCGCCAAAATGATTGTATCTGTATTTTCAGCGATACCATACAATCTTTGTTATATTTTATCTGTGATTTATAATACCATTATGACATGTAATGAATTAAATAGCAAATTTCTAAAATTTTATGATTTTGTTTGTTCATCCTTGATTTTCTTTTGATTAGTCATCATGGTTTCAGTCATTTGGCTAGACTAGGTTAGTTGTACAAGACCTGAAGCCCTAAATATCACACTAGGTATACTAGTGACAGGTTGCCAAATACGGTATTCCACCACATAATTGCTAATAACAACAGCAATAGAGCACACTGTTAAAAACAAAATGAAATACAGGATATTAGCATTATGGTATTCAATTCCATTTGAAAAAAAAATACTTTAATTACTTAGGGGTTTTTATTAACATGGAAAGAAAAATCGAAATATATATACACTTCTACTGAACTCTGTTCTGTTTTGTTACTTAAAATATCCATGATGTCATTGGTGTTATTTACAAGTCGTAAAGATATAAGGACTTCTGGATAATTTAACTGGTGGGCTAATGTGGTTAATCAAATACAACCTAGCTATTACCTCCAACAAGGACATGCATGGTGTACTAATGCAACAATATTTACATTTGCGAGAATACTGTTGTGTACTATTTGTAAGTAAAACTACAACAAAGAGATCAGTATCAAAAACATGGTTTTGAACACATACTGTACTTATTTGTTCTACAGTATATAGTCACACATGACTCAGCAAATAATAACAATTCTGATCATGTAATGCTTACGGTGCAAAGTGCAACAGTGTCGCCAGTAACAGGGTTAGGAACAAGCTTTAAGCCGTCGTCTGTGACTCCCTCCAACAAAAAAAGGGAAACATTGTTTTCATAGTTTTTGGCGCCATTTGTAACCTTTAAACCTGTACTGTACAAGCTATGCTAAGTGAGTGGGGAATTCCTGCAGAAAGGCTTGAGATGCTCAGGGGCAGATCCAGAATTTCTTCAAAACGGAGGGTGTGGGGGAAACATCATATTCAAAATAGATAATGAGTAGCATTAACTTCAATTATATGCACTGAAATTTGAAAATTTAGTGGCAAAACTGGTGGCATTTAGTGGCATACTGGATCCACCCCTGGTGCTTAAGGGTAGCGAGTGTGATGGCGAGTGATTTGGTGCACTTACACTGTACAGTGATAAAATAAAGACTCTATAGTTCGCATTCATTAATTACTTCTGTTTGAAAGTCCACTAAATTCTATTATGTATCTATCTAAGAATGTCTCAAATGGCAAAATAAATCGAACTTGAAAAGTCTATAATGGCGCAGAATTTTCAAGTTTCTCTAGGGACAAGAGAGATGAACACCATCAAGGCCTAATGATCTCACAGGCACCCTCTGAAAATTGTCAGACAACCCAGATGAACAGCTCTTCACCCCCTGTACTACTGTACTACAGCCAGCCAACACTGAGTACAACAATGACCTTCCTACAGCACTGTAGGCTAACATTAACAACAAAAAAGTCAGAAATTGATGTAAATACTGTAACAATGTAGGTTATATATATGACCCTTCTTAATAATTGGACAATCTCCATAAAAGAACAGCCTGTTGGTTATGTAATATTACTAAAACATTTTGAGAGAGTAACAATAGGATATCTATATAATTAAGTTTTAAAGCAAAATAACCTGTAGGTTATTTATATTGAAATCTGTAATAAATTTAGAATAACAATATGCTATCTATAAAATAGAATCTGTTAAAGTTTTAAAAATAATAGGCCTACTAATAGGTTATTTATAGTGAAATCTGTAATGAATTTAGAATAACAATATGCTTTCTATAAAATAGAATCTGTTATAGTTTCAAAAAATAATATGCCTACTAATAGCCTGTACAAACTATAGTTTATTTACAGTAAAATCTGTAATAAACAAGACAATTTCCAGAGAATCACAGAAGGCAACATTGTAGAATCTGTAAAGTTAGATTGAAGACCTACAGTCATGGCAGACTACCGTAAATTTCTTCCAATACTGGTGGAAATTTCATCTAATGTCTAAATTTGTTTTGAGACTCTATTATAATGACCCTCCTTTTCTTAAACACACCACAGAAACAAACTTTCAAACCACCAGCAATTTTTAATATGTTCATTTCTCATTTAGGAATTTGTCAGGGCATGATCAAATTCCTCTTTGAAGTTCCCTCTCCATGGGTGACTGAACAAATGGAGAAAAACAAACTATGAAATATAGTTTGCAGTGCAATTCAAGATCACCTACTGTATGAGACCTGACAATCTGGAGTTGTCTCAGGGTTCATTCTCCAATTATAGGATATTTATTAATAATAATAATAATAATAATGGCATCTTGTAAGGCGCACGTATCCATCTCAGAGAGCTGCTCGCGGCGCCACTTCCACTTGCAAAGAGAAACCGCCTTTTCTGCATTTCATTTATTGTATTTTTAAAGGTTATTTCATTTTATATAAATTCTATTTATTTCTTTAATTTTTTAAAGGTTATTTCATTTTATATAAATTCTATTTATTTCTTTAATTTTTATTTATTTATTTATTTTTAAATACTTACATTAATTGTCAACTTAACTACAGAGAACAGACAAACAAGCACAAGATTTTAGAGGGTCATCCATCCATCGCCTCTGTCGCATTCCCGAACCTCTACGTGGCTCGAACAAAGCAACAGGAAACACATTTGCCCTGCCACAGACGAACGGGTGCTCAGAGGCAGCAATCGGGATAGTGGCCCCTAGAGATAGATGTAGGCCTGACAAAAAGGAGGGGGTTGATTGTAGTCAAATTAATAAAAATAAGAAAGGAAAAGAAAACTTGAACTCGCTTAGAGACAAAATGCAACGGATGTCTTGAGGAAAGTCATTCCAGATTTTTCCTTTGCGGCTTGGAAAGACCTCAATCCCCAAAGGTTATTTGTCCGGCGTTCATAAAGCAGCAAAAGATTAGCAGAGCGGAGACTTGATCGTAACAGTTTGTATGGAGTCACAAGCCATTTGATGTAAGTGGTGAAACATCGTGCAAAGCTTTGAAGACCAGCAACCCTAGCTTATACTGGATTCACTGTTTCACAGGTAGCCTGATAGCTCCTTTAGGACAGGTGTTATGTGCTCCTGTTTTTTTCCTTCATCATTATCAAACGTGCAGCATTGTTCTGGACACGTTGTAATTTGCCGATGAGTGACGAGTTCACACCATACATTACAGAATTACAATTATCAAGTCTAGATGTTACAAAACAATAAACTAAAATTTCAGCAATGTGAGTGTTTAAATTTTTTCTAATGCGGCTAATGTTATGGAGTGAAAAGAGAGCTGATCTACAAACCACATTCACATAATGAATTGTGCTATGATTTGCGAAGATTGGTACTTTCCAAAAAGTGTTCTATAGGAGCCCCAGAATTTGAGGGTGGACTACAGAATACCGCAATTTTGGAGAAAAGACTTACAGGATATCTGGTTTAATGATCTTTCTTAATCCATTATATTTACACTATTATGATGTACATGGTATAATACCCATGGACAACTAAACATCAGGATATACTTAATATAAGAGTCAGTTATAAACATGCAAAAAGTTTGAATTTGCATGAAAATGGGTAGTTTACAGGACACTTTTGTTTATTAGCTGGAGTTCTGGATATTTGTCAATTTAAAAAAAAACCCATGTGACTTACGCCAGACTTGGAACGTAATGCTAATGGTCATTTATATAGAACCTTTTCCTCGCGACTACAAAACATTTGTATCAAGTACAATTGTGTAGCTAAGGTGAGACCTTTTTTATTCCTTGTCTCACGTACTTATTTTTAGTCGGCTGGTTCGTTAAACAAGGTACAAAAAAGTCTTACCTACAGAGTAAACATTAAAAAAAAAGCAACAATGTAATAGACATATTCAACAATTAAGACATATTTCAAAGGATACCCCTTAGCAATATCTTTGACGGGTCCTTGGCCTGACACAAGTATATGCTTATCATGTAGGTGACGACACATCTTCAAAGGACTGTGTGACATCACAACTTGATCTGGCGTTACCTGTAGAAGAATAAAATATTTTGATTATTATTATTATTATAATAATTAATTAATAAATATTAATCATTAATATTTGATAATTAATAAATTATTACTAGATGTTCATTATTAGTTCCTATTAATTGATTAATTAATAATGATATTAATCGCTAATCTAGTCCCTGTTTCTTGTATATCATACTGCAGTGTAGACATCAAATCAATTAAACATAGGCCTAGTATTCAAAACATAATATTAACATTTGAAAGTAAACCAATAAAATCACCTGTTATATAAAATCTTTATTACTTTAGTAATTTTAACCAAAAATATTACACAAATATATAGTGCTATGACACCTAGTCATATTTTTTCTAATTCATAGATTCAGTTTTCCTTCCTGAGTGACTTACAACAATAAACCGTAGACACAATTTTTTTATCAGTTTGTTTCATTTGGCCAACCTGCATTTTTACTCATATCGTTACAAATAAACCTGCTGAAAATGATAAGGTTTTCATGAAATCTTATATCGAAACTTAAATACGGTACTGAGTGATAAGTTTTCTGTCAGCGGCTTTAACTGCAAAGAAATTATACTAATCATTCAGTTTTTACATCATTTTTTAAAGACAATACAAAACACTCTTTTCTGTGACCACCTTCCCTTTTCCCTTACAGTAAGACCGAGGTCATAATAAAATGTTGACTATTTCATAAATGAGAATGTTAATATTTTTATTTCCATAAAAGTACATACACGGATTACTCTCTCTCTCTCTCTCTCTCTCTCTCTCTCTGCAATGTTTGTTGTATTATAAAATAGCACTGTAAACAAACGCCATAAGAAAATGAAATAAACACTTGTTTGATACTGTACGTTTGTACAGTAGTTCTTTTTCTAGTTTGCTTTTACTTGAGATAAAAGCTGGCATTAATTGTGAGAGAAAGGTACGTTTGTAAATTCACTGAAAGCCAGGCAATTACTGCTATTCAACTCCACTCCCTGTGAGTGTAAGATGACACGACACCCGTCCTCCGCTTGTTGCCAGTGGCAGTTTGTCAGTTGTGTGCGTGTTGGCGTTGCATTCTTCATAGAATTGCATCCTCCGTCAAATGTCGGGGTGCAGTTAAGTGCCCGGCTTGATACGTATAATTTCAATCAACAAAATCCACACAGCAGTATTGTAGAAAGGATATTTTGCACTTAACTGATAGTAGAAAGTTGTACAGTATTATAGGAAATACAAATTTTACTGATAGTGTTACTTATAATGAGTTTGTACTGTATACTGACTTACTAATAAGCAAATAAACAGGAAGTCTAGGAGTTGTATTACAGTAAGACTGCTCAAATATCACATAAACATAATAAAACATTTATTGTGCCTGTAAATCCACATAAGTAGGGACAATACCGTGCAAACAGACAATTTCGATTGTTGGTTTGCCACTGGGAAAATTTATAAAAGAATACCTCTTGCGAATAATAATGGCTTGGTGCAAGGGCCCAAGGCCCAATGATTCTCGCCCATATTAATTTGGGATCACCATCCATGCATAGCCAGAAAAATGCACACACACAAAAAAAAGATTATTAACCTTGACATATACAAAAATTTCCACAAGATCATTTTGTAGAATACTGTTTACGCCTTTAAAGTACATTTATAAATAGATTCTAGTTTCATGAAGCTATGTTATTCTATAGAATCCTATTAAATGCCAATTCAATAGAAAGACTACAAGGCTAGAACGTGTTTTTAATTCAATCCCGGTTGCTAGTGGGAGGAGTTACTGTACATTGTAACAGCTGTTTAGTACGGTAATTGTGACTTGCTAAAATAACACTAGGATACTGTAGGCCACATTTTAGACTACACCTATGATTTAATTAATCACCCATTAAAACTACTCTACATACTGGGTATTCTACTCACATGTCATCGCATCATATTTCTACATCACAGTAAATACAAGTTTAAAATCATTATCAATAAATATTACTTCCACAATCATACAGCACAGTAGTTCATGGGCAAATCTAGGACAATAGAAACAGGAGATTGTAGAAACTAGAAGGGTGGAAGGGAGGGGGGTTGAAATAACATGTTCAAAAAATACTGACATATATCTGGTGGAAGGAGGGTTGGGGGAAACATACCACAACCCCATTACGGTCTTGACAGTTCTGTAGAATCAATGCCCTTCACACATGCTTTCTTCATTTGAGTTGGGATCCTTCCATAATGTTATGACAAATATTCACAAAAAGTGGGCCTAATTAATTAATTTAAAAGTCCACTATGCACAAAATCAGATCTCTGTAATTTGCACCTTAGTTTTCTGTCATGTATCTTTGATAATCATCCAATCCCGGTTGTAAATTTGTTGATATTCCATTGCCATAATTTTCGCCTACTTGGCAATGGCAGCTTTAAGCCTAACCATGGTTTTTACCTAATTCACACATTACTGTAATACTAAATTTTGAACATTTTTTTCATGCTCAGTCAGTCAAAAAAAATAATAATTTCAAGAAAAAATGTACATGACAAATATTGGAGGCAATAAGCAAACCTCGTTGGTTAGGGTTAACAATACCTTCAGTACAACTTATTAACACTTCACCTCTTGTAGTCCTATTAATTTGGTTTCTGTTTATAAACATAAATTACTTCATCAATTAGGTTTTTTTTTAATCGGTTACCAATTCCATGTTTGCGTAAAGTAAAAATGTCAACATATTTTTTTTTTATCTTATTTATGATCTCTGACATTAAATACATAGTCATAGAGCTTTTGGGAAGAATGTTTGTATTGGGAAATCCATAAATCAAATCAAATTTATGTGATGTATTGAACAGTGGCACACAACAGGTAGAAACTATGTATATTTTCAAAACATTTATAGAACCATATTCAAAAGCCACAAAAATATTAACACATTTTTCAATAGTTATACTAACCAGTAACAACAAAAAAAGTACATACAAGATTACGTACCATAGAGGAATTGCAAGCACAAGCCAGTAATAATTAACAAAAAATATTAATGAAAATACACTTTTTAACACTCTGACCGCCAGGGGTTTCAAAAAATAGTATCAGCCACCGCCAGACTTTTTAGCGAATTTTAACCCTTTTCCGAAGCTCATTGAGAGTGCGTATGTGATCAAATTGACATATAATTAATACTACAGTACAAGAACCACAAACATCTTAGCTTTACAATGGTACCAAACACTTTATTCTAATCACAATCTATAACCCGTAACAATAAAATGAAAATTTCCGTGTTTGGCGGTTGAGCGTTGCGTTACCAAACACGCGGGCAGAGTGTTAATTATCACATTACTATTCATAGTTGTTATAATAACTGTATACCTGGAGGTCAAAAACTTTTCCAGTCTTGTTTAAACAATTGATTTACTTGCAAAGCACATAAGCTTATCTTTAATACTTTGCAATATCATGGTTATTCCCTAAATTGTATCCGTGTCCAAAAATCAGAGAGCTTATTCTACAAATACTGGTCACTTCCTGAATACTGTAATCACCTAAAATAATTACCAACTGGAAATGTGTAGGCCTACAGTTTTGCAAGTCATAAAATATAAAGTAAACTGGTAGCCAATGAACATACACATTCCTACTGTAGCAAATAAAAATCATAAATTTTTTACTACTATGGCATACTGTACTGATGTCAATCCTCAATTAAGAACTTAAAGTATTACTAATATTACAAATTAAATATTACTTAGTTTCCTGGTAGCAGTATAAACAAAAACTAATAATTAAGAAAAAAAACCAAAAAACAGCTACGACTACATCCAAGAGCGTACAACGCTACCTGTAGTGGCTCTTTGTGTGTAAACATTAATGGCATTGTTTTGAACTACCAACTACAGTAGCTATTCTTATCCACCTAACGATGAGAAAAGAACAATTTGCACACCTCAATAGTGTTTTTTCATAAATGATGTGATGCTTAGACTAACATACACAAGTTATCTACAGACTAAGATATCTGCATAGAAAAGTCTCATATGGAGGGAGTGCAGTTGATTCAAAAATTGAAAAATTCAGGATTCCATGACAGGAACTGAACCCATGACCTTAGGATTGGAGAGAATCTTATACCCTATTCAGACTAGACTTTGCATTGCGACCGGTTGCGATGTAATCAGTGGTAAACAGTTGTAATCCACATTGTTTGCAACCATTCGCAAACTTCGACAGCATTCAGACACCTTTTTACTTTGATACTTTACATCACTAGCAACGATATAGGTCGTCCTGTTTTACCTCAGCCAATCAGTGCCTGTGCAATCCATTGCGAGCGGATTCCGTGGTAATCGGGAGAAATAAAGTTTGTAGCACCCAACCGCAATGGGTAACAATTGCGAAATCGATTACTTATCGACTACTGTACTATTGGTGAGCTTTCAAACATGGTTTTACTTTGCGATTGGGTGCGATTGGGTGTCGCAATTGCTACAACCGATCGCAATGCGAAGCTAGTCTGAATGGGGTATTAACCACAATGCTATTCAACTCTACAGTACAGTGCTTTTTAAGCGAGTTCTGTCTGTAGTCAATGTCTGTTATTATTTTAAGTGTTGGCATGAAGTATGTCATCTATTATTAATATTATTATATTATATAGTATTTCCACCAGGGTTTATCAAGTAGGTAAATTAAAATTAAAATTTTATGAAGTGCAGCAGGTGAGTATAGTTTGTTAGTTCACTTGTTTACTTTATTACTACTACAGCTGATACTGAAATAATAGTAATTATAGAGGGTCGGAATGGCTAACAATCAATGCAATACAATGTCAAATGTTATTGATTATAACAATATATAGCTGAAAATAAAATTTTTTAATAACAGAAATATAAAACTGAATTATTATATACTGGTTAACAAATATGATATAAAAAATAATTAAATCAAATTTAGACTACCTTAAAATTAAGCATCTCTGAGAGCTGTTCAGCCTTGGTTTGTCGGAGACAGTTTCCAGCATTGGTGACAAACACAACCGGGACTCGGAGTTTGCCATGTCTGTCCCTTAGCTTGTTGAACGCACTAGTGGCCTCCGGCAGAACTTGATGTCCCCGGCATAGAACCCCATCAATATCAAACAGCAGACCAAAGCCAGCTTCTTTTATATGATGCTTGAAAAAAAGATGAGGAAAAGATTCTTTATTTCAAGATGACACGAATGAAGACAGTGTATTCAGTATTTGTAATCTCACCTCATTATTGTTGGTACAGTATGCATTCTGTAAATGGTAGGCAGAATGTTCAATAATAATATTGTTAAATGTTAAATGTTATAATATCTAGGCCTAGAAAATTATTTTTTAGTGCCTAGTAGAGGGCCTAGGCCTATTTCTAGTAGGCCTAGGCCTAGTAGGACAATCATTTGACTGATCAGTGATGCTACTAAACCGGTAAGATAGAATTTCTTGATATCTATTTTATACAAAGCTAACATATACATTATTGAAAATGTAAATGAAAAACAATAACAATATTGTATTCTGTGGTAAAGATCATGAGGAAGTAAGCATTGAATCTGAACTACGCCACACACCAGAGCACGAGTGCTACATACTGGGAAACGTGATCGACTCACAATCACACAGTCCAGTTGACACAGTGCCGGGTTTGGGCCTACAGGTTGGATGTACTCATAGTCTTTTTAGTGTAGGTACTTACCGAATTTTCAGAATTACCATTCAAACATCTTCTGCTTTCTGTGCTTGTAAACAATTTACAGTTTGACTGTCGTAAGAATTTGTGTAGTCCGCGAAAAACAACATTTTCTACGGCAGTAGCCATTTGCATCAGCTGGAAGTCTGTTATCGGAGCGTATGACGTTAAAAGAAGGTGTGACCAATAGAAACCCGTGTGAATGTGCATGTGACGAATTCCGTTCCGTATCAATGGACTGATCTAGAGAGTACAGTACTGTATTTTGTTTTGTCTCCATTAGCCTATATTCATTCTTTGTCAGTTAGACGAGGCTTTTTTATACCTTGTTTACAAAACCCACCGACTGCAAATATTGATAATTTCGAATAAAAATAACATTTTATTTTTGGCCAATTAACGTACCCGCCTCTAAAGTGTAAACTTCAGAAAAAAATAAAAGTTTTCTTTATTTTTATTACCGGTATACCCTCTGAGACCTTGAAATCTCCAAAGATAAGATATGTATATTTCTTAATAATTATATAAATTTGAAGCATTTAACCATCCTATATTACATTCATCAATACAATTTTATTTTTATTTTCTCTTCCGTCTGGATGATTTTTGTAAAATTATTCGCTAAAAAAAACCCAAAATTTTATTTTTTATTCTGCCCTCCTCCGATAATCTTTGAAAAAAATAAGTACGCGAAACAAATAAGAAAAGGTCTCTCGTTATTACCAGAGGCGTAATGGCCATGAGTACATGGAGGCGCAGTCCCAAGCCAGGGCCCCCGTCGGAGAGAAACAAAATTTATACGTATTTTCTACGTTCCCTATTAGTAGACTCTAAAATCGATTAAATAAGCCTTTGAAACCCAGGAACACTTTCAAAAGATCTGGGACATCGCCACTCCCTCGTCGGACGCCCCATCACGCAAATCCTGGCGCCACCCCTGCCGGTCCCCCACTCCAATTGGGCCCCGGAGGGCCTGGGGAAATTCTACTACATAGAACAACTTTAAAACGGTAACGCCTGTGCGCTTTTGCGCAAGGCAATTCAACAGAAGAACGCATCTAGGGACATCAAAGGTTGTAACTCTGGCAAAGACAATGGCAGTAATAATAAGCTCATCAATAATTTATTATACCTGTCTCTTATACACATCTAGATGTGTATAAGAGACAGATATAATGGAAAAATAAATAATATAGATAAATAAATGTAAAAAATAAATAGAAAATGAAAGCAACTTTGAGGAGATGGGAGTGATGAAACCCAAAGAGTAACGGAGAGGGATAAAAAAAGAGGAGAAATTCCAGAAAATGACTAATCAAGTGGAGTAAAAGTGGAGATGATTAAATTTACTGCTTATAGGCAACGAAACGCATTTTTAAGTGCAAGTTTAAAGCTGTTAATCGAGGGTGAATTTTGGGTTTTTACATCAAGGGAGTTCAAAAGATTTGCACCAGAATATTTAATTGATTGGCGTAAGAGATTAAATTTGAAATTTGTGAAAAGAGAGAGTAGCAGGTCTTGTAATTATGAAATTGGTTATTTTTGTGGAAGAAAATCCTTGAATGATATTGGAAACATAAAACTAATTTATTTATATATGTTTAACGTATTAAATTGTAAAATAAAGGTTTTGTATGAGAGATAATAATAATAATAATAATAATAATAATAATAATAATAATAATAATAATAATAATAATAATAATAATAATAATAATAATAATAATAATAATAATAATAATTTTAGCTTATATAGCGCATTATGCTAAAGCCTCAATGCGCTTAACAGTAAAAATAAAATTCGGGGGAAAAAAATTAAGAAAAATACAAGTTAAAAAGGTGAGTTTTTAAAGCTGCCTTAAAATCATCAATGGAAGTTGCCTGTCGGATTGTAATAGGCAGAGCATTCCAAAGAAAGACAGAAGCCCAAGAGAAAGAACGACTACCATAATGCTTTGTCGACGGGCGAGTGGAATGAGCAAGTACTGTAGAGACTCTGAACTAGATCTCAGAGACCTCTTAAGAATGTAAGGATGAATGAGTTGTGAAATAAACATTGGCGAGGAATTATGAAGTGCTTTGAAAACAAATAATAAAATCTTGTAAGTAATTCTCTGTGTTACAGGAAGCCAATGAAGGTGCCTTAAAGGAGTGATATGATCCCTAATTGGCTTAAAGTGACCAAACGGGCAGGTATAATTGAATACAAATTCGTAGAGCTTTCTTTTGTACTTTAAATATGTTGTCAAGTCTTGAAGTTTCGGTACTAAACCAAGAATATTAACTGTGAACTTATCGTTTAACACAGCCCATGAAATATTGCAATATGAAATATGTGGAAGGATGAGTGTATTATAAGTTTAGGGGCGTTGGGCGGTTCCCAACTGAGGGTGGGAAAATTGTAAATACGGAACTACAAAGAATCAGTGGCGTGTGGGGTGAAGACCCCAGCCGCTCCGGTGTTTGTATTGTTTTGTGATGTATTTTAATGTATTTTCTCAAAATATGGATTGAAAACGAACTAACGAACATCATGCATATTATTGCGTCACAAATAAAATAATGAAGGTACCTGGGCCTAGCCAAGGTCTGTGTAAAGTGATGCATCCATCAGTGATGTTCTTTTAACTATCACAACGTCAGTGCCTCGTCAACTTCGGCCTTATATGCAATAATATGGGATGTGTTTTGGTAAATGTCTCCATTATTATACACTACTTCACTTAAGGTTTATTCTATTACTTTTATAACAAATGTTTCCAAATTTGTAATCTAAATCTAATTATATCTCCTCAGAAGTACTGCAACGGTAATGATTTGAATGTCAAGTTGAAAGATATGGCAGCTGATTACGAGAACATTCAGGGATGGTTTGAAGAAATATAAATAAAGTTTTTGCTGATTGTTAAATAAATAATTTATAAATTACTGTGCAGTACAATTTAAATAAGAGAAAATAAAATAAAATGGCAGTTAATAATTTTACTACTGTATAAAAGAACGTTTTTTGACAGTTGCAATTCTGTAGGTCTATAGAAACCAAAATAAAGTTCTAAGGAAACTCTATACATGTAGATGATTGTGTTCAAGTTCTAACAAAATTCTTTAGAGTTTTAATCGACTTTCTAAAGAACCATATAGAGTTTCTGTAGAAACTCTATAGGAATTCTGTTAGGACGTCCATAACATTTCAATAGATTTTCTACAGAAATTTTATAAGCCAGGTTTTAGAAAACTATATAGATTACCGGTATAGGCTTACCTATAGAAGCTCTATAGAATTTTGAATTGTTTCTATTAACATTCTATAATTTTAAATAAGTATTCTTTAGAAATTCCTAATTTTGTATCGTGATTTGACAAAATAACTGTAATATAAGATAATACTTTGTTCGTCTGTAACCTAATTTCTTGTTACACATTGTTTCATTTACATCATATTATATAAAACAAATTATTAAATAAAGTTTAAAAACGTTCAATTAATTTTTTAATTATTACTGTTTCATGTGTCATTGGTATTATTGAAAAGATTACATGGAAATATGAATGTAATTAAAAAATAATAATGGCGGCGTCATGTTGATATATTTTAAAAATTATGATAACATTTAAAACCCATTAATTCACATTAGGCTGTTGCTTCGACTAGGCCTATACATTTCTCCTGGACTGTATGCTATGTTCTGTACGGAAGAATGCTGTTTAAGAATCTTTTTCTTTTTTGCTCTGATAGAGTTTGAGGCACACGTCAATTAAATTTGATAATTCCAACGATTAACCCCTTTTTCCATATTTCTCCCAAGTTTTTAAATATTCAAAAATTTATCCCATTAAGCGCTTTTTATCTCATTAACCCATTTTATCGTCGAAGTTTAAGAATAATAATTAGAGCATGATAACTTTTCTAGTGTTTATTGCATTTTCTCTTGTGTAGATACCAGAGTCCGTTTTAATATCGCAATCCACTGGCACAAAATTTTTTATGCAGTCTGCCCAATAGTGCGAATAATGAATTTTGGCTCATTGTCATAAGCATGGGCAGTAAAGTGAACTTCGTAGTTAATTGTTGAACATGCTTGACTTCCTCATCGCGAATCGCAGAAACAGTGTTCGCTGCTTTTGGAATATAAAAGCTAAGGCGTATTTGTTTCAAAATCTCTTGGAAATCGGTCGAGGCAGTGTATAGTCAACAGTGAAACTTAATGGACTACAGTATTCAAATTATAGTACCGGTATCACTATGCCAGACACTGTTTATACGTACAGCATCTTTACAAATATAAAAGCAGTTGTTTGAGTATTGTAAAGTATAGCAATACATACTATTCTGCTATGTACTACCGATTCTGAAGGATATAAACGTTTATAAATGCTCGGACAATTCTGTATTATTTAAATGTTGATTTCTCACGAACATTTCGTTCATAATCAACATGAATAAAAGTAATAGTATATAGCAAGCAGATATACTATAAACATTACCATATCCGACAATATTCTATACACATGATAACGTATTGTTAAAGGCTGTCCCAATTAAAAAAATAAATAGCTTATTTAAAACGATCAAAATCAGATGAAAGTTTAAAAAAAAAATATGCGGTTCTACAAAAAAATCCTTAAATGAAATACCAGCTATGAATCATTAAAAAAAAACACAGCAAATACGCTCACTGTCCCAGCTAATTTACAGGGTTTTTTCTTTTTCTCATAAAAGTTTTTAGTTGTAATACTAAGTTAACTGTTACCGAAGTTATCTGAGCATTTCTTATCCTTCAGAATCAGTACTGCTATATGGGGCACAATTGCTAAACACGTGTCATATGTAGTGCTATATACTACGGCCTACTCAAATAGCCAGATTCAATACCGGTAGTGTACTATACTGCGCTTTTTTATATTTCAAAGACCATGCTTTACATAAACTGTGTCTATAGTCATAGGGATATTATTACAATTTATAGTCCATTAATCTTCAAACTGTCTTGACTACATTTGGAGGACAGCCAGGTTCAGGAAACTGTTACCGCTGTCGTCCGTAGAGTTCACCAAACGCTGATGTGTGTTTGGTATCAGCGATGCAGAAGTAAATACTCGTTTGAAATTGTCAATGTCTTCATTTTTCAGCATGTGGAATAGTGTATGTTTAACTTCTTCTTCATGACATAGCTTAGTACTACCACACTCTGCCATAATGAGTACGGTACTCAGCAATCTTTTCTCAGCTGCTTGTTTTTGTTATAAACCTTCTTCTGCTATGGATGCAGGAAGCAATATTTTTTTCCTATATGAGAATTTGCCAATAAAGGAAAATTAAGCAGCCTGATTGGCTGCTGTCTCTTATACACATAATATAAATCAAGATATATATATTGAATAGACATAATTGAATCGTATTTAAAATTTAGCTCAAAGTTGTACTGGTTATTACGCAAGTCCTCTACTTAACTGTAACTTAAATGGTGTCTTATTTTGTCCATTGTTTACTTTTTTGGATCCAATATTGCCATTATCATCCTGCAAAACTGAAGACGACTATGATCATTCATTGTATAAGTAGCATCAGTAGAAAAGTCTTCCAGAGATATGAGATTATATTCTGGAACAAAGAATGAAGGAACTGTGCCTTGTTTATCTGTTAAAAACTTCTCCAACTGCTTAAAAATGGCAAATGCCCATGCTCTAATTTGTTCTCCGTCCGTTACGTCATTGTTTAGTTTTTCTTGGTCCTCACCACTTGTGTCACTGTCAAGAATATATAAGAGACAGGTTTTCAGCATGTAACTTGATATCAGTTCACTCGCTAGATGCTTATATTCACCGTCATCGCTAATTCGTAGCGGAGGAACCAGCTCTATCATGTTCTTGGCGAGCTTGTATCCTTTTTTTACTTGGTCACTCTGCTTTCTAATCAGGAATGTTTCTACTTCAGAAAATGAAACACGCAGAAATTTTGTCATCTTGTAGGCAGGCACGAATTGAAACTTTTCTGATTTGTCAGATTTAGTTATTAGTAAGCATCCGATAGATGAGACGTGTTTGTCTGTTGTTAATCTTGACTTTTGAATTTGTGATGGCCACCATTTTCTTTTTGGAATAGTGGGAACGAAATCAATCGATATCACCAACTTTTTGATCAGCCATCCCATCCACTGCACAGTTAAGGAATGTATTCTACCTTTTGCCACCTTTGGTTGACCATATAATAGGAATCGTGGAAACTTTGACAAGATATCTTTACCGGAAATCACTTTTCTGATAAGCTGATAAAAACATCTCGACACCCGGTCCTGTTGTAAAAGTGAATCGTTGAAAAATTCAGCAAATTCTGAACGCTGGCTTCTAGTATTTTGCGTATTCATGACGAGGGATGCAAAACAGGCTGGTCTGTTTGGATCTGTTTCAACAACAGTGGTGATGCTATCAAACTTGTGTAGACAGCAGAGATAGTCAAATTCATTAGGAAGAAATATCTTAGTGCCTTCGCTCACACTTCCAGACAAAACGGCTGAGGCTTCAAATCTAGAATCAATATCTGTTATTTTCATCAAAATCTGTCTGACAAGTTCATCTATAGAATCATGGATATAGTGGGCTTCTCTTGAACTTGCAATTTCATCAAAATATGGGTTTTCTATGATGTGATTGAGTGTATTTCCATGATACAACTTAAACTGTTCTATGAATTGTGGAATTTCCTCCTCTTTGATAGGTGTTAAACTGTCAGGAGCTATTTCATCAATATCTATGTCGCTGTTGTCAGCTTCAACCTCTTCAGGTGAAGTATTAACTACATCACTTTCATTGCTCTTCTTAATTTCCTCGTTCATTTCGGAAGATTCTCCCTCACTACTGGAATCATCTGCATTGTCATCTTCACATCCGAACAGTTCAACAAACTGCATGTTACCAATAAATTCTGCAACACTGACAGCAGTATTTCCTTGCATGTCCTTTCTTTTCAGGTCAACGAAGGTTCGCAGGAATTCTACGCAGTTAGGATGTGTTCCTGCTGAGTACCAAGCTGCATAGTGTGCTACAGTAGATCCATTAATGTCTGTCGCTTCAATATCTGCCCCACTTTTAAGCAGCAAATCAAGAAGACTCTTATATTCATCAATCCATGCTACAGCAAAGTGAATAGGAACAGTTCCACTTTTGTTTGGTGCATTCACATTAGCGCCCTCTTCAATCAGCATTTGCGTTATATCATATGAAGGCAGGTCTATGGCATAGTGTAAGGGTGTAGAACCGTTTATGTCGTTTTCATCAACAGAGACTCCACGTTTGATCAGTGATTTACATATTTGTAGCATTTGAGTAGGTCTATGGTTTTCCTCTGAAGAAGTAAGACTATTCATTATACATGTATGAAGTGGCGTTCTTCCTAAGTTATCTTTGACGCTTATATCCGCACCATAATTAATGATCATGTTGACAATTTCAGTTGTTGAGTTACATACTTTATGTAGCACACTGTCACCGAATGTATTCACATGATTGATATTACCCCCTTTGTCTAACAGTACAACAAGAGCTTTTTCAGTTTCAGTAATATCAATAGAATCATTGTTAAATGCTTCATCCTTCAATGATTTTGCATTAAAATGAATATTGAAGAACAAATGGTTGAGCGGTGTTTCGCCATGAGAATCTACTACATTCACAAGTGCACCATTATCCAGCAGATAAGTTATTGCTCGAGCACAACAATTAAGAGCCGAATTATGTAAAGCAGTGGTGTCATCTTTTTCTTTTGCGTTAACGTCGGCACCGGCTTCGACCAATAGTTTAACTATGGCGAGACATTCACATACATCTTCAGGTTTTAAAGTAATATGACTACCTTCTGTAACGATTGTTTTTGTGGCTTTGTGAAGTGCAGTGTTTTCACACTGATCTAAAGCATTCACATCCGCTTTAGCTGCCAACAGAATCTTTGTTTTCTCCGGCTGATAAAATTCACATACATCATGAAGAGGTGTTTCAAATACTTTGTTTGTTACGTTTGGGTTAGCTCCATATTCTATGAGCAGTTCCACTATCGACACATCAACTTCTGGTGAAGCAGCATAATGTAATGGATACATTTGCCACTCTTGATCACCTACATCAGGGGAGGCACCGTTTATCAATAAAAAGCGACACAACTCTAGTTGATTCATTTCTACAGCCAGGTTCAGGAAACTGTTACCGCTGTCGTCCGTAGAGTTCACCAAACGCTGATGTGTGTTTGGTATCAGCGATGCAGAAGTAAATACTCGTTTGAAATTGTCAATGTCTTCATTTTTCAGCATGTGGAATAGTGTATGTTTAACTTCTTCTTCATGACATAGCTTAGTACTACCACACTCTGCCATAATGAGTACGGTACTCAGCAATCTTTTCTCAGCTGCTTGTTTTTGTTATAAACCTTCTTCTGCTATGGATGCAGGAAGCAATATTTTTTTCCTATATGAGAATTTGCCAATAAAGGAAAATTAAGCAGCCTGATTGGCTGTTCTACGTCACGTAACTCCTCAAATTCAGTCGAGCATAGAATTAACAAGTACAGTAGTACGATTAACCATAGAGAAAATATCTATTTTCTCAATGGATTAACAGCCCATCAACAAGCACCACTTGGTTCGTCTGTATATGTTCTGTCTTTCAGTGTGACCAGTGATTAAAATCAAATTATGCCGAGGCTGATGGAAAACTATGCTAAATTATGCCATATGGTAAATTTCGAATAAGCACCCCCCTCCAAATTTTAAATTTCGAATAAGCGTACCCTCCAAATGTTCAATTTCGAATAAGCGCCCCTCTAAATGTTCACTCTTATTACAGTAAATAGGCCTATTTATGTGTGTATATGTGCATAAAAAATTGAATCGCATACGTATTCTTCTTTTCATGAACCGATGAACCACAAAGGGGAAGGGGGGTCCTCCCCCGGGAAAATGTTAAAAATTTTCCATCCCTAGATGGCAGGAAATTAGCTTTGCCGACTTCTGAGCTGTCTTTTAATGACTTTAATTCTTGAAATTTTAAGTTTTCCCCCTTGAAAACGGTCAGGTAACTTTCTCATTCTTATTACAGTAAATACTAGTAGGCATATTATGTGTGTATAAAGTACATCACATACATATTCTTCTTTCCATGAATCGGTGAACCACAAAGAGGAAGGGACACCCCACCCCCAACAAAGGAAAAAAAAAAACAAATCCGCCAATGTGAATTGCGGGAAATAACTTAGTCGGGGATTGCATAAACACTCTCTTTCCCCTCCCTCTCCTCCTTCTTCCCTCTTTCTTTTCTTGCATTTCTTTCCGATCATACAAAAATCTCCATGGACATTATATATTTTCAGCCACAAAGTGAGAGGGGTCCCCCGGCCACCCCGGTTCGGCCGGCCATGTATAACACATTACAAAAACAAAATATGTATTTGCACAGACATTGCATAGTTGAGCAGCAAAAGCGAAACCACTGCAGTTGTTATAACCAACTCCCTGATCAGTGTAGTATAGAGTATCAGCCCGAGTATCAGTATCTTAATTTAAAACTCAGTAGTCGGTAGAGTTAAGGGGGTATAATATACCTCCTTGACTACTCCTGGACGTATGCCTCCCGGATGAACCGAACGAACGCGAACTCCCGCCTCATCAGCAATCACTAAGACATACTCTGAGTCTGGTGTCGACTCGATGTTTAATGTCATGCCCAGAAGGGCGCAATCTGTTTTGAAAGATGGAGGTGGGGTGGGGACATTTCGTGAGCCGACACCTACCTCAGACCCACCATGGTTGGGTCTGAGGTGCGAAAATTTGAGGAAATATACCTCTAGATGACCAGAAAATGACATTTTTTTTGTAAAATTCATCATCATCCCATCACTGTTTTATATAAAATGCTGTGGCCAGGATTTTCAAACAGTGCAATAAACAATATCACTGTGGACCCACTTCACGCGTAAATTCAAATAATGTGGACCCATTTTCTTAAAAGTGGACCAATTTTATGCAAAAATATCAATCAATCAATCAAACATTTATATTGCGCCAATTAAAAAAAATGATCAAAGGTGCAGAAAAAAGTCTTTAGGTTTATTTTAAAAGAATCAAGGGAGGACGAGTCTTTAACAAATGATGGTAGTTCGTTCCAAAGATAATATGCAGCACAAGAAAAAGTACGACCACCGTAAGTCTTAGTACGGAAACAAGGAACAGAAGTCAGAAGTACGAAGGCGACGAGATGGAACATATCGAGGAACTAGTTGAGTGATATAAGATGGACGGGAAAATAATAAAGCTTTATAATGTTAAAAGGAGGATCTTGAAAACAATTCGTTGTTTAACGGAGAGCCAATGAAGGGCCAAGATTATGGGAGTAATATGATGACGGCGTGGCGTAAGTGTACACACACGGGCTGCAGAATTTTGTATTTTTTAAAGCTGGTAAAGAGAATAGGCAGCCGAAAAAGAAGGGAATTGCAGTGATCAAGTTTTGTTGAAATAAAAGCATGAAGAAGAGTTTCACCTGCGTTTTTGTCAAGGTACTGTCTGATTCGGCGGATATTTCGAAGATAGTAATTTGATGATTTGCAGATGGAACTGATGCTGGTGGAAAGTGAGGGATTGGTCCAATATCACACCGAGATTATGGACTGATGTTGCAGATTTAACTTCAATTGTATTTAGTTTAAGCGATGGAAGTTGATTCGGTGATGAAGTAAATTTGGAGTGAAATATAATAAATTCGGTTTCAAAAAAAATCTGTACCCAATTTTTTTAAATTTGACGAATTTTACGCGAAAATATGAGAAATCTGGACCCATTTTTCAAAAACAGGATTCATTTTGTGCTAAAACAGCATAATTTAGACCTATTTTTGAAAATGTAGACCCATTATTTGTGACCTCAATGGAAAAATTGTGTGGGACTGCCCAACTGTCCCAATAGCTGGCTATGGCATTGATTACTATACTCAAAATGAAGCGCCAACATATTTCTCATGATCTTTTATCAGCGATTTTCGACAACCATAGAGATCTTATTAATATGTGTGATGTACCATAGAAAATAAAGCATATAAACCTTGTTTTTGAGTATGTACTTTATATAGGCCTACTTTAAAGCCATGATTTCACAACCACCTCAGCCCCACCATGGTTGGGGCTGAGGTGCGAACATTTGAGGAAATAGTATCTCTAGATGGCCGGAAATGACACTTATATAGTAAAATTCATCATCATCACATCAGTATTATATAGTCAAATGAGAACTAATTTCTCATAATCTTTTATCAGGGATCTACTTAATATCCAAGATAATTTAGGCCTAACTATAGCTCACTACGCTTTAACTGTACTATAATAATTGTGATCAACAAATCACAACTTACGTTTTCGCCTTTAGCACAATTTTCTTCACTTTTTAATATTATTATCTATTATCACCATCGTCATAATAATAATAATAATAATAATAATAATAATAATAATAATAATAATAATTATTATTATTATTATTATTATTATTATTATTATTATTATTATTATTATTACTAGTAGTACTGTAGTATTAAAACAAAACTTTATATAGCTTGCAAAACGATAAAAACCAAACTGAACCATACATCACATTTCTGTATCTGAAAGACCTGGCCTGGGACTTATGGATTTAAGATTTTTTTTAAATCACTCTTAGACCTTTTGTGTTATTATAGTAGGCATATGTATAACGTGTGCTGATGCATATTTACATAAATTAGAAGTATTTATATAGTGATCCTTGGAAAGAATTTGTATCTAGCAAGAACAAGCTTTAAAATTTTAACACCGATACGTCCCTGGCGCATAGCATGGGATTTATTTGATACTCAATCAATGGACAATCAATATAATTCATTTTTATTATGTGGTATCCACGGTTATTGACAGCTAGTTTAATTCAGATTTTTTTTTCTTCTGAAGTCAAAATTATGCTAAATATTTTTAAAATCTTGCCAGTACTTATGCTAAATGGGTCTAAATTATGCCAAAAAGCATAATTATACTAGGTCTTTGGAGAATGACTGTTGTATTATTAGTCAGTCTCTAATTTGCGTCTACGCTCGTCTTTATGGCTTCAGCACGGCGTTACACAGCATCGGTATGAAAAAGACAACTTACATGTATTGACAAATTACTGTACTTAAATATAGGACTTTTAATAGCGAAATGCCAAGATTTCCATAGGCCTTACTGTGTATTATTGTAAATACAGGTACTTCGAAATCTCTAAAAATATCCATTGTGTGTGGGGAAACAACAGACTTGAAACGATGATGTTGATACTTACATTCAACTACCCCTGTACAACATGCTTAATATTCCATACTTGCTGATGGCATACAATAATCAAACCTCTTTGTTTGATAATAACAGCCCATCCAAGTAAGAAAGTGTGAGTGGAAATAGTTTATAGGGAGATGATTATGATGGCTTATCTTAGTAATTGTTTTTATCTTCGAAATAAACAACTTAATGAGGGTGGCAATCCTTGCATATGCTTAAATAAGCGAAAGTATTATGAATTATTTGTTACTAATTACCAATTATAATTATTTAATAATCATTGTTAATTACTGTATTATGAAATATTTATTATGAAATTACTAATTAATTAATTTATTTATTTATTGGCACTACTGTTCAGTAACTTTCGTCTTCTCTAGAGAAACAGAGTTAGTGGTAAGTCTTAGGCCCCATAAAAAAAAATTATTAGTTTATCACCTCCAGCTTATCACTTTTGGGGAAATTCTATTTTTTTTTTCAATCAACATATATTTTTATTTCAAACAGTCGTTTTTCCATCCTCCTCCCTCATCAGTTTTGATTCTTTGATATGATGATAAACTAATAATTTTTTATGGGGCCATAGAAGCATTTGGTTTTCTGAAAGGAATTTGGAAGAGGCTTCGGCATATAACTAGCCAATGCTACTCAAAACATGGTAGTTATTCCAGCTGGTGCAATTTTTTATAGCTACTTGGTAAGGTTATATATAGCAAAAATAAAATAAAATTATAATTGCCTAAATAAAATATACTTACAGCGTGGTCTTTTACAGCAAACAGTAGATCCCTTGGTATCAAGTGAAGTGCGTAAATTAGAATGAACAAGAGTGTCCCTGATGCTGTTATCGCGACGATACGCACAGATTGGTAGTGATTTAAAGATAGTCTCAGTGGATGGTTCGGAAGCTAATATGTCGAAGTTCTTGATGATAATTTGAGCCACTTGTTTAGTCATGGGATGGTATGTTAGGACTAGGGGAGTCCTGTCAGAATTGCTGGTATTATTGCGTGGTTTAAGGGCTTCTTCTTGAGAAATACCATTGAGTTTTCTGATGCATTCATTGGTGATAGAAGCAGGGTAGCTTCTTGTAGAGAAGAAATTCATCATTTCATCAGCACGGGCTTTGAAATCATCATCGCTTTGGCATATGCGTCTAAGGCGAACTAATTGTGAGTATGGTATAGAGTTCTTACAAGCAGGAGGATGAGATGATCGGTAGTTCAGAAATGTGTGAGCGTCCGTAGGCTTATAATGAACAGTGGTAGTCAGAGCAGAGTGGCTCAAATTATTTTATTATAAAACTTATTGAAAATATGTATTCAAACGTTATATGTAAAGAGGCCTATTATTTCATGATTTGAATCAGATGTGTAAACATTAAGGAAGAAATTAAACAAGGATGCATTGTCGCTACTTTCAATGAACTTAGTAAATCAATTAAAGAAAGGAAACTTAGTATTCATTATATACTATCTGCTGACCCTCTTATGATTTTGGCCAGAAAATCGGAGAACATATCGGAGAACTTAGTGGTAAAATGGGTATGTAATATACACTCATATAAACGCCGTTATAATTTCACTGTAAATGTGGAACTACAAGACAATTACCGTCAATATGGTTATTGCAAGATCATTGATCCTGTTAGGTTAGAAGAAATGCAATTCTACAGGAGTAGAACAGTACGGTAATTGAATGTGTTGAGAATGATGTTACTATAAATTGTTTTATAATCATGTAGGGGAAAAGATAATCGCCTCGGAGCGTTTATTCGAGGGAGGGTTTTATTCCAAATTAGGCTCTAGAAAGGGAGTTTATTCGAAGGGGTGTTTATTTAAAGCCAGAATTTTTTTTAAAGCGGGAAGGGGCATAATAGTTTCAGAAAAGATAAATGAGTAACAGATAACACTAATGCATTGAAAATTTAGTGTCAAAACGGGGAGTAACGTGCCCCCGTTCCCCCTACTGGATCCGCCCCAAAAGCGCGCGTTTATTCGAATAAATATATACGAATTAATGGATGAACAGATGAGAACACAAGGAAAAGTTGTGCACTGGGTGTTTCTTGTTGTAACTTCCTTTTTTTTTTAATACATTGGCAGTGGCGGATTCAATGGTGTCCCTAGCCGGCCTCAGCCCCCCCCCCCCATGGGGCTAAGTGGTATTACACTCCTTGTGAAATTCCCACTTCATGGTTAACTATGGCGAGCCGAATTGCAATTTACTCGAAAATACAGATAGGCCTATCTTGGTTTTTTTAAATAGAGATATCTGCTCGCCATTCTTAGGGCCATATCGAGCTACAAGACCAGGGAATGAAGTAAACGCACTGCCTCTAGGGTTGCAGACAGGGTATTGCTTATAGGGTTAATGCTCAACCCCTATATCTAGATCAGAGAGCAGCTTAGCTCAGTCGGCTAATCTGGTGGTAGCCACTGATTGTGCGCTAAATCGTGGATCTCTAGGTCCCCGGTTCAATTCCCACCGCTGCCTCTCCTTGTGTTTCAGCTGGAGGGCTGAAATATAAGTTACAATAGCGCACCGTCTTTCGTATGAGACGTTCAAGCCGTGAGCCCGTGTGCATTTATGGCCCATGTGCACGTAAAAGAACGCAGTACACTCTTCAGCAAAGAGTGTCTCCCGGTGTACTGCCCAATCACCACTAGAAGGACCCCACTGGAAATAAATCTTGGTGTTTACACCGAATAAATCAAATCCTATCCAGGCATGGCAAGCACATTAGTTTTTACTTAATGCACCAAATCATTACTTGTTTTTATAGACAACTATCATACACTTACAAACTCATACAATACATTACAACTCTATTAGTCGTAGGCTTACTCAAAACTCTTTCTCATGTTAGATATTTAATATGTATCTTCATAACTTCACGCACATAATAACAACTATACCCAAACTATAGTTCTATATTGTATTGCAGTTACACCGTATAGGTCCCTAATAGCAATGATGGGTAGCTATAAAATAGGCAAATACTATAATACAGTAGGCCTATGAGATATATACCACAAATTTATAAAATACCAAATCATTGTTGCTTGGATTGGATTGGATTTATTCACCAATCCAAGGATTGCCCACGAAAGTTCGATTCCCACCAGAGACCTCCTTTTCATACAACTGTAAAGAACTTTCGATGACCCCAGAGGGGTCCTCCGTTTGTATCTATTCAGATTCAGAATCATAGCTTGTCAAATTAACTAAAATAAGTTATTCGTCAAATTGGGATTTTTGTGCTATGAGTTTTGTACTGTAAATTCAGGCTTATGTCTGAAAATGGTTTGCTTTTTGTTCACTTACTAAGTACACTCGTTGTCCTAAAATTGCAAGTTTATTATTAGTCGGTGTAACAATGCTATTGAGGAAATTGGGAATTGGCCTGACAAGAGGAACGGAGAATCATACCACCGCCGATCCAATGCCATAGTCTCAATGTGTTTTGTTCTATTGTAATAGTTTTTGTACTTAATTACCAGGCCTAAACCTTTAATTATGCTCTATAAGCCTGGTTTTTAATTTCTTTAAATAACTATTTTTTAGTTTTGATTTTACTGGCCAAATATATTCTCCAAGTCGCGAAACCATTATGAAACTGAGGTAAAATTCTGGGATTACTGTGGACGGAGCTCCCTCGCTGCAGATATACTATATTAAACATGTTTTTCAAATTCTCTTTTTAATTGTACCACACTACAATATTTTGATACTGCACTCATTACTATTGTGTAACTTTAAGTAAAGAATACAACATTTTCTGTGCACATGTTTGTCTGTGGCAATTAGATAACGAGAATGAATAAGAAAATTTAAATCTATCGACGTTTGAATTGCACAACTACAATATTGAATAAATATAGACGTTTCAATTGCACTCAAAAACTTTAATTTATTAATTTATAAACAAACACGAACGTTTTTGGTTGTGATACTGCTTCTTTACGTCCGAATTACTATTTCGTCCATACACTTGTGTAGCACCTGAAGAACTATTGTGTTCGTTTCAAATAAATAAAATTTAAGACAAATTTTATTTTGTATTTTCTTCAGTATTTGTAAGTATTATGAAATTGTTGGCATCATAAGTTGTCTTTCAAACGCAATTTTAAATAGACAATAATAAAACATTGCAGTTATTGCATTAGAGCAGCTTAGCTCAGTTGGCTGGTGGTAGCCACTGTGTGTGCGCTGAACCATGGATATTTCTTGGTCTCATTTTTCAAGTCCCATCCTGCTCTCCTTGTATTTCAGCTGGAGGGCTGAAATTCAAGTTTCAATAGCGCACCGTCTTTCGGATGGGACATGTAAACCGTTGGTCCCATTTGCAATGGTCCATGTACATGTTAAAGAACGCGGTATATCTCTTGAAAAAAGAGTAGAACATTGTCCCTCGGTGTAGTGCCCAATTCACCACCAGAAAGGCCCCCTGGAAATAAGTCTAGACTTTTGTGGGTTACCCTTGGTGTGTATCGCACCGAATAAATCCAATCCATGCCTAAATAATGTATCAAGTAAGTAGTTGAAATTATCGATAATTGAGATAAATATCAAGACTGATATAGGCTAAGACTAAACTTTTACATTTTACCATTTTATACTTGTTAATTCTTTTTTATACGCATTTCTTTTCAGTTACGAAGCGCTGTAAGCGACTCTCCACAATAAATCAAAAAATCCCTCCGAGTAAAGCTTGCATAGAACCAAACCCAAACAAAGTGTGCTAACTTAACTAATGCAATAAAGCAGTAGAAAAATAATAACAAACAAATAAGATCTAAGCAAGGTGAGGGGAACTATTGAAAAGGTGTGTTTTTAAATGGGCTTTGAACTGCCTAAGCGAAACACAAAATCTGAGAAGATTAGGCAGACCATTCCAAAGTTATAAGTAACTCGGCTTTCGAACTGTACAGATAAAAATCCTTGCTTGTCTATTGAAGTTAACTTTCTAATCACCACCATTTATTTTATTACCATTGAAAAGAGCAGAATTCGGTCACCAAGGCCTCTGGAATCAATGTTCTTTCCTGAACAACAGTGTATATTGTATAGTGTATAGTATTAAAGGTAATCCAGCATATAGAGTTTAGCCACTTATCCCACATAAATGCACGAAAGGTCAGTTTGTAGCTGCTTGAGTGAGAAACGAACTCACTTTGAATCTATTACTTACGTGAGTAACCATCCGACTACATTGTGTACCGTATAGTACTTGGAATTGATCACTATGGACGATTTAACACAAATACCTGTAAGAGACCATATGGACGACCCTAACATTATATGGCGACACAGTAAACCGGATTATGAGTTGGTTAATAAGAAGTACATGGCAGAAAGAACACGCAACCACGCTCCTGGTTCGGTAGAGAGAATAGTGGAAAACCTCGTAAAAACTTGGGAAATGGAAAGTTCGCATAAAATGAGTTCCGAGGTACGTGATATTGCAAGTATTACATCATCACTATCATATTCACCATCATTAACAAATGTTTTAAAAGTGTTTTTGAGGCACATTTTGCAAAGGTTTTTTTTTCAAAAATGTAGGAAAACCAACACAAAATATATCGGTTATTCATCTTTGGTGGCGATTTTCCCTAAAGTATGTTTTCAGACTTCTGAATTTTAGATTGATCTTACTTCGGTTGTTCCTAAGCTAGGAACCTGATCCAAGACCAACATGCAGCCTAATACTCATCTATCTACATGTATCAATAGTTCACTTTTCATTTTTTGTACAACACGACTCATCAACATATCATTTATATACGGCTTTCACTCATCTTGAATACATCCCATTAACCGTTTTCCGTCAAACATAATTTTTGTGTAGGCCTAAGCTTATTGGAAAAATCAGTTGTAACAAACAGGTTTCCTCCGTGTTTTGGAGATACAATGTGTGACAAGATATGAAAAACCTCATTAAAATATATAATTACCGGTACTCATTTTAAAAGATCAGATATGACAACTTCTAATACAGCTTTGATCAAATAATTCACCTTTCATTGTTATTAATTTCTTTATCATGCGAATTCTGTGTTTTGTCGAATGACAGTGTATTTATCTTGTTGAATAAATCGTTACACAACAAGAACATTGTTATTAGTTCTACTTCATATTTGGAAACAGTCAGTGTAAGATCATAGGATTTAAGCGAAAGATATTAGAGGTTGTATCGGCCTATATAAATTGTTATAGATAATCAATTGAGCGTGATCAAATTCGTGCAAGATATTTCATTTAACACAATTCTTCCAACTAATGAGCGCATTTCGTTGCAATTTCTCAATTCAGTAATATGTACGCCTGTCTATTGATTGACTTTGGTTGGTGACATTCGCGTATTTGCAATTTAAAAATGATAATAGACGTTTCTAAGACAGAAGGTACAGTACATCACTTTTATTTATTTTTTTTAATCAAATCACTATAATGGACATTAATAATGCAGTCAAAGACAAAAAATACCACAAAATAGCTTCCCTGTCTCTAGATTTGGCATTATTTATAAATAGAATAATGATGTTCTTATAATTAAACAACGTATTTTTCTAATAGGTATTGTTTAAACTTCACAATTACTATTTCCACAAATAATAATTTTCATTATATTTCATTTCATATATTTTGTCTTCAAAAAACATAAAATTCAAGTACACGAGAAAATACATACAAAGAGACGGAAAAAGAGCAATCTTAACCACCAGAAAGCGAAAACCAAACAGCGAAACAAATCACTTTCGAATGGCTTTCCTAGATTGAAATATATACATGTAAACACGTATATATATATTATATTATATTATATCATATTATGTTATATTTAATTTAAATTGTAGGATTGGAAAACTGTAAATCTTGAAAAGTACGAATTCATCGTGAATGGAGGAAAGCCATTGAACGTAGCAGATAACATAGAGATGGGTAACTATAACATGCTCCTGAGTGAGTGTCCATTGTACAATAAAGAAGGACAGAACAATGATACTTCACACGCAGTCTTTAAAGAGGCTTTTCCTGAAGGCTTTGCATGGGAACTATTGGAGGTTTTGTCAGGTAAGTGAACACCTGATAACTAGTTAGACACGGGAATATGATGGGGTAATTTTTAACAATATGACAAGAAACAAGCATTGATGAGTCTCTGTCGACATGCGCTGTGTGAGGTTTCTGGACAAAAATATTTTATTTTCTTATCTCTAAGATCTTGTGGTAAGTTCCTGAATATTGTGGTCTAAAACAACCTGTCGACCAAAACTTACCGGTAAGTCGCGAAATTTTGTTGGTTCGTGTCATCAGTTGAAGATATCTAAGTCATGGTTCAATTTTAGTAGGTCACTTTATCAGTAATATTATTGATCACAATCCCAATTCTACGTCTAATTTTAGACACAAGATGTTCATTTCATTTCCTTTGTTTGAGAACTATTTTTGATACGAGGAATACATACGTTCTTTGAAATTTTTTGGCCACTTATCATTGGTACACTGACGAAACACAATGAAGGAATTTAATACAGACTACCGTTACTAAAACTCATCGGCACGTCTACGAATTTATTTTCCTTTGTCAATTCCCTGTATTTCTTCGTCAATAGACTATTTATATCTATCTCGGTATCAGACTGTGAGGTTATACTGACAGCGAAATGTCTAATTAAGCGAAAAATCATTATAAAACTATGGATTTACTTGTACCGTATTATGCTCACTCTAAAGGAAACAAAATCCAGTTTCTTTTGCCGAAGTAACTTATTTTACCTTTTGCAAAAAGCTATTATGCGAGGAAGCCTAAATATGTAACAAATCAAGCTTCCAATATAGAAAATCATGTATATTTTTATTGTTCATCTAATTATTATTTGGAATACACTAAAGGCCATTATGTCTTTTATTAAGGGCAACCGAAGGTAACGTTCACTTGGCGACATTGGGCGAATTGGAGTGGACCATACAGAGGTAATGAACCAACGAATGAACCCATCGAAATGACCGGGTGTTGCATAGCGACAGTTGATGACGCGCTCAAAATTGAAAAGCTGGAAATATTTTACGATCCAAATCCAATGATGGCAACGTTGACGAAATTTAAGACTAGCAACTGTCCAGTTGCTAAGTGAATTGGTTACTTGCAAGGGCTTATTATTTTCTAAGGTGTCGGCTTCTTAAAGATAATATTTTTATTGACATTCTATAAAATAATGTCGAGATTTAAAATTTAATTAAATGTGTCTTTTTGAACTATTTTAGGAAATGTTAATGACTTTATGTTAATAATGATTTCGAATATTTAATATTTAATTAAATTTCTTTTTGAACTATTTTAGAAAATGTTAATAACTCTTATATTATGTTAATAATGATAATGATGATAATGATGATGATGATGCAGAAATTTCGCCTTTTTGTTAAGGGATACAAGGGGCAATCAAAATGTTCATACCTGTTATGATAATGACGATGATGGTGATAATGGTGATATGATGATGATGATGATGATAATGATGATAAGGATAAGGATAAGGAAAAAGATGATGATGATGATATCAATAATAATACAGAACTTTGTATCGCAATTTTTCCTAAGGGCTACAAGGGGCAATCAAAATATAAAATTAAAAAAAAAAATTGCGATCAGAAGTTAGACCAGACGAAACAAAAACATTTAACCCCATGCACTTTCTCTCATACAACTGACTGAAACGCTCACACATAGTGGAGTTATACATAAGGTAGAAAAGATTATAGGTCACAGCTTGGAAATCATAGTAAATAATATTCAAATTAGGTTTGTTGCGTAGCACAGCACTGTGAACACAATATAAACAAATGGATAAATAATAATAATAACAGTGCTTATATAGGAATAGAATGTTATACAGTAATCGTATTAAGCAGCCCTTCAAAAAAAAAAATCAATACAATTTTGATAAGCAACAACAAAAAGAAAACTAATTGAACAGCCAGAAATGGAACCATAACTTATTTTATAGCCTGTCTCTTATACACATCTAGATGTGTATAAGAGACCGACAACAAATCGCGTCGGGCTGCGTCGGCCGACGCTGTCTGAGTTGGCCTTAAGTCTTCAGACTTCTGTTTTAACTAAGTGTTTAAAGTTCAGTACAGTAGTTTAAATTTATATTGTTGACAATTTACAGTACAGTACCTATTTTTATTCATTTAATGCTTCGACATTTTTTAGACAATTCTATTTTCCTATATTTTTGTATGTTCCTTGGATGCACCATACAATTCGTATGAGTGCCACTGTATCAAATGTGGATACAATAAATTTAAATTTAAATTGAAAAATCACCATCCTATAGCTGACTGGCCAGTATTAAGAGAATGTGATTACTTTGCTATTATCTTTTAACTGCATGTTTGCATAAGATTGGTGTTTACATGTATGAGAACAATGCACTTTAAATTTCCGCTATCTTTGGGGCTGAACATTGTTATGTCTTCCATAATAAAAAAAAAAATAGTCTACTACCTAATATACAGGAGTTTTTGATTTTGAGTTTAATCTTATGTTCTTCAATATGCAGATGTGTGTATTTATTGTATTGTATCTGGATTTGTCATAAAAAATTTTTCTTTCATAACAACATTCAGTATTACATTATATTACACTAAAAACATTTTATTATTCATTTCCATTCTACTAAATTTATTTTATTGCCGGATACGCCATCATAGGCATCCACACAACATAACATATACACTGGTTAAATGCAATGATAATAATAATGTGGGGGGGGGGGGGTAGTAACAAAATTATGCATGGCCTAATATCTAAACAATCGTTATTTTAGAAATGCACCAGGAGTCCATATTCAGTGAGCAATTCAATGAGTTTTCCTCCCAAAGTCCCTCAGCGTGGATCTTCTGGAAAATTTCTCCCTTTATTCAGACTCGGAGTACATCATCCGAGTTTGTTGAAGTGTGATGTCATCATTGCAAAGAAAGAGACAGGTCAATTAATGATGTTTAATATCAAAAGGCTGAAAATGAACATACATAAGAATCAAATATGAATGTAAGCCAAGAAAGTGGTGGCGTACGTGTTAACTTCAAACATTACATGTATGTGGATTTACCTATAGGGAAATGTTTTGTCTAATGGGATACAACATGCAATGTAATTTCTGAAGGAGGTATCTATTTAATGGATACTTTTACCCTGGGAGAAAAAAGCATGCTTGGTTTAATATTTTTGAAAATAAATCTGATAAATTTGAGGATTTTAGGCACTTTGAGAGGATGAAAAGGGCATTTATCAAGGGGTGGGGAAAGATTTTCCTCTTGTCCCCCGGTGTTTTTAATTCTAATTTCGTCGGAATTGATCCAAAATACCTAAAATGTGCAATTTTTTAGAGGAAATTGGCCTACTCTGATAAGAAATGCGCGAAATTTGAGATTTTTAGGCACTTTCAGGGGATGAAAAGGGAAAGAAAAAGAGGAGAGAAAAATAAAGACAAGAATAAAAAGGAAAATATCATAATGGTACGGTACAAGATCTTTGCATAGTGTCTACAGCCCTCGTTGGAGGAAGTAGACACAAAAACGCATGACTGCACATATTATGATTCCCCGTATTGTTGTAATGTTGCACCATGGAGTTAGTTCCCTGTTTGTACTTCACCGACCCCTAAAAGGTAGTTGCACTTATAACTCATTTCGGAAATCACGCAGAGCGCGTCAGTAGTTATTTTATAGCTCTACGAGACAACGATAACTTGGAATAATGGCTGCAGACACGACAGTACCTGTCAGGGACCACATGGATGACCCTATGACCAACTGGAGACACGGTAAACCGGATTTTGAGTTGGTTAATAAAAAATACATGGAAGAACGAACACGCAGCCATGCTCCTGGTTCTCTGGAGAAGATAGTAGAGAATCTTGTGAAAACTTGGGAAATGGAAAGCTCGCATAAAATGAGTGCAAAGGTATGAGTTGTCAAGTGTATTGATTATTAAACAAATTATTTACACAGGCCACTGGATAATATAAAATGAAACATACAGAAAAGGGTGAGGTACAAGACTGATATGTTAAAGCCTTTTCACAGTCTTTTATTTTTGCGAAATAGGCTATTTTTGTGATTTTGGTTCCAGAATATATGTATTTCTCTACCCACCGATTTTAAAAGTTCAAAAGCTACAAAGTATGAATTTCTCGATTCGGTAGAAAGTATAGTAGGATGTGGTCAGTGGCGTATCTGTCTTGATTAAATAAGACTTTGAAACCCCTAAATTGTCATATTTTCGAGGGGGGTGGGGGCTACGTCCCCTGGACCACTTTCTAAAGGGTTTTAGCGACGCCCGAAGACGTCCACATTTTTTTCTCGTCGGGGACATCAGCCCCCCCCCCCTTCTGTCGGGAAATCCTGATGTCGCCACTGGAACCCCCTTTTGGGACACCCCTATTCAGGGGACGGGGACACTTTTTGAGTGTGCCAAATGGCCAAAACACTCCTTTTAGGGGTGTTTATTTTTTTTTATTATTGTATCACAACACACAGCAGTCTTAAAATAAGAAATATTCATTTTTATAAATTTTGACCCATAATTATCTGAATTTATTTTTCCTTGCTTTTTCAGGATTCTATCCTATACCATAACATGCACCCTTAATTCTAAATCGTTACTCTATTCATCCTACTATCCAATAAAAAGCTCAATATTAAAAAAAAAAGAAAAAGAAAATTTTGGTCAGTAACATTGCATCACGAAATAAGATTGGCAACATATAAAACTATTGATGTTTTAATTAAATTTCTGCTGATTTCATATTATAAATAAATTTTTCATCGCTAATTATTGTTTTAAATTTGTTATAATTCTACTGTAACTGAATCTTATGTAAATAAAAATAAAATTATAAATGCATGCTATGGTTATGCAACAACATGCCAACAACACCTATTAAGGGGACAATTTCACGTTTTTGGTTTGGGGAATAGGGGTATCTCTATTCAAGGGACACAGACCTATTAAGGGGACATTTTTTAAGTTCCAAAGGTGTCCCCTTAATAGGGGTTTTACTGTATTTATAAAAAATATAATAAAAAAAGAATCAAACATTACACCCATAGAGTACTTTAAAATCTCATTTTCCTTGCATAATTAATGTCACTTTAATAACATTCTTCCTAAACTTAAAGTACTTGCGTCTGAAAACAAATAACAACATACGTTGGCCTGTTATTGTATTCTTTTCCAATCGATGATGAAACAAACTAAGTCAAATACACAACATAATTTTTCGTTTGTAACAATAAACCACATTTTTTTTTTACAAAATGCTCATTATAAGTAAAAAAAAATCATAAAATTTATCATCAAATTACACTATATAAAGCTTTATCTATAACACTATCAAATCTTATGTGACAAATTTAATGAACTGTCCATAGGCCTGTGATCATTTTTATGTCACACCATAGAGAAATTAGAACAGCACCACATCCATAATTCTTATTCTTATTCTTTATTCATCTTCCAGTCGCAGGCAAAAGGCTGAATTACAAGAGATTTACAAGTTACATTTACGTTAAGAGATTAAAAATTACAGTACCATTAAAAAAATTAAAACAGGAAAATATTAAAAGTTTGTAGGTAAAAATACATATATAATTAAATAGTTATAAATACAATAATGATAGTGAATATAAGTAATAAATACATTATAAAGGATGCTCAAGAGTCAAATTAAAAATACAATATTCAAAAAGGAGAAACCGTCAGTGGTTCAGGGGGAAGAACAATTGTTATCAAAATTTGCCTTAAAAAAAATTTAAAAAAAATATAAGGTAATACTATTAAGTGCATAATGGGAATTATGTCATATCATACCCATATATTGGCAAAGCATATGTGTTTATTACATAGAATTCGATAGTGTGGATGGAGATATGTAATTTCGGATATCACTGCATGTGCAAAATATGATAAAACCTGAAAAAAAATCAAATAAAGTTTATACTTGGATCATTGGCAGAGTACAGTGTTTGTTATATATTGTTTGAAGGTTTGCGTGGAGAAGTAATTATATATATTTAATCATTGCGGTACACCACGTAAGATAGTACCTTTTGATTGAGTTGCTTCAATCGTCTTCAGGAGAAAGAATAATATCTGCTATTATTCTCCTCAAGGCGATTAAAGCAATTCAATCGGAACGTCTAGACATTTTCAACCAACAACAATTCTTTTCAAAACTATCTACGTGGTTTACTGCAAGGATTAATACAATGATTGTGCTAGAAACTATTTTTGCTAGAAACTGTGTCCAGCTTTTGCTGAAACAAAGTACTTAGCATGTGTGTGGACACAAAAGAATACTTCCTTATTAGAAACACTCGCTTTAAGAAGTACTGTAAAATCATAAGACTATAATTATATACGAGAGGTATTAGAAGTTTTAAACGAATATTCGTCCAATATACAGTATTTCATTTACATATAGCATACAGTGCTTATTTTTGTGGACATTTTGGTTCAGTACAATTATCAACAGTTTCACAAGTGTACAAACAGTACGCTAGTGGGAGGGGTAGACATATTACGAAAATGTTTATAATGAACATTTCCGCTAAGCCCCTGGCACTTGCATATTGTTGCTAAGGCGACAGTGTTAAAACATACGCGAATACGTGCGTTTTGTAGTACAACACGTGTTGTTTGTGAGACGCGTGCGTGTTCCTAGCGCTGTTCTGTTTAGGCTAAAGCCTTGTGTTTACACAATAGGTTTACCGATGATCTCCAGTCGTGCGTCTACACGATTACGGCTAATTTCCCACACGGCAGCAAACGGTTAGCAGGATCCGGACGGCAGCAAACGGTTAGCTGTCGTGCGTCCATGTGAGAAAATCCCGATCCGGATACCAACAATATGATGATCGAATCACTGGCTAATAAGAAACTGGAAATTGTAAACGCGTACGTGTGATTGGTTGATGATAGAAACGCCCTCAACTTGCTAACCGATAGCGCTTGCTAACTGTTAGCGGTATCCGGATACTGCTAGCGGTATCCGGATACTGCTAACGGTTAGCGCTAACCGATCGGGCGTTCTCACGCAGGTGCTAACGGTTAGCTCCCGATCCGGATACTAGGGCTCTCGTGAGAACCAGGATAAAAGAATTATTGGTTGTACCAGGAAGTCATGTGATTAAAACTGACCTGAAAAAAATGCACACATTGCTGCTTGTTTGAAACCCTGTCAAAAAAGTTAAAAACGGAATTGATAAAATCATAATTCAAATAATAATAATGGTATTCCCGCTGTTTATCAACAGCGACTTCCAGCGATGACTCACACATGTCAAACAACAGCTAATTTGCATAAAAATCACGCCGATAATCTATGTTGACACCGCTGCGATGCAGAAGTAACTGCGTAGGTCATCGCGGTTACTGATTCGTTATGTGGAGTTAACTCCGTTTACTACGGTGGCTGATTTCCGCCAAACAGTAATACAAAAATTAAAAAAATATTAGGGCGTTCTAACGCCCTATTTACGGCGTTATATCGCCCTAATTACGGCGTTTCAACGTCCTATTTACGGCGTTATAACGCCCAAGTTTGGCGGAAATCAACCACCGTACCGTAATTTTCCTATTGTTTAGCTTCACGATTTCTATTTTCGCAAATGATAATTTTTATTGTAGGATTGGAAAACTGTAAATCTTGAAAAGTACGAATTTATCGTGAATGGGGGAAGGCCATTGAATGTAGCAGATAACATAGAGATGGGTAACTACAACATGCTTCTGAGTGAGTGTCCATTGTACAATAAAGAAGGACAGAACAACGAGACTTCACACACAGTCTTTAAAGAGGCTTTTCCTGAAGGATTTGCATGGGAACTATTGGAGGTTTTGTCAGGTGAGTGAATACCTGATAACTATGGGGAGATTGATATTCAATTACGTGTTGAAAAAAAACCCCCTTGCGGTGATATAGTACTTGCGCGCTAACAAAGACAATGCCTACCAAGGCTACACCACCGGTGGACAGGGAAGTTTTATCAGGCTTATAAATTAATAACTCAGGTCAAAAAACCAACAGATACGGTATTTAATACAATTTAAATTGTTTCATAACAAGTTTTGTTTCGATATTCTCATAGAATATCGAACCAAATGAATGAAATGAATAGATCAATTTTAGTGGGTCACTTTATCAATAATGTTATTTATCACAACACAAACCCTGCGTCTGGTGTACACAATTTTTGTTTGAAGATTACAAGTCACATGTTTATCTTTTTTGCATTGTTTGGGAACTGTTTTCAATACGAGGTACGCATACTAGACCTGTCCCTTGTGATTTTATGGCCACTTTTCATTGGTACACCGACGAAACACAATGAAAGAATATCAAAATATACTGTGTAACCATAGAGAAAATACCTCTATGGTGTAACTAAAACTTGTCGGCAAACTTGTTTTGTCAATTCTTTGTGTTTCGTCAATAGCCTTTCTCTTCTCTCGGTATCAGACTGTGCAATATAATGTATGTAATGTAATTGGATTTATAGAGCGTTTTATACCAAGCTGTGCTTGAAAGTTCCTCTTTTGGCATACGGTACTATATTATGTCGTTCCATAGATAATGTCAGTCAACAACACTTTCATTAGACAGGAAAATACCAGCATCAGATCTTGTATACACAATATAATTATATCAAGCCGCTAAATCTAGAAATGGCCAGACTATTTCCATTTATTTATTTTAATGATTCAATTCAATTCATTTCAATAATGATGGCAATGATAGAGGCCAGTCAGGTTCACATTATGTTATCACTAATCATAATCATAATGATCATGGAGAACGACTGAATTATCGTGACAAAAATTATGCTAATAGTGATTGTACACAAGTTACACATACAATTACATTATTGTCGTTATGTCTTTCATTAAGGGCCACCGAAGGTAACGTTCACTTGGCGACATTGGGCGAATTGGAGTGGACCATACAGAGGTAATGAACCAACGAATGAACCCATCGAGATGACCGGATGTTGCATCGCGACAGTTGATGACGCGCTCAAAATTGAAAAGCTGGAAATATTCTACGATCCAAACCCAATGATGGCAACGTTGACAAAATTTAAGTCTAGCAATTGCCCAGTTGCTAATTGAATTGGTTACGGGCAGGGGCTCATTAATTTTCTTTTTTCAGAATTTCAAAAAACATTTGTTTTTTTTTATATTTATTTTTATTACACCCTTTTATCTTTAAACAAATAAGTTTGCAAACAAGGTATTTAATACGTCTAGGCTATTCTAAAATAATTTCGTTCGAGATTTAAGATTTGATTAATGTGTCTTTTTAAAAATTACTTTAGAAAATTGAAATAACTCTTATGTTTATAATGATATTAATATTAATGATATTAATATTAACCTAATACGAATAATTAATAATAATAATAATAATAATAATAATAATAATAATTATTATTATTATTATTATTATTATTATTATTATTATTATTGTTATTATTATTATTATTTTTATTATTATTATTATACAGAAATGTGTATCGCACTTTTTGCAAAGGGATAGGCAATCAATGCAATAATGCAGTAGGCCACTTTATTTTAATTGCTTAATTTGTATTTTTGACAGATGTGATGCACCTAAAAATCATATATCTGCTCTTATATCTTTGGGACTGAGTTCTCACCAGCATGTTAGGAGTGGTAGTAGACTACACAAAAGATATATGGTCCCTGTAGTACTAGCTAGAGTAGGCCTGGCTAGGCTAGCTCCACCTAGGTCCACTATTATAGTATTAGTAGGCCTCTAGTCGTGCGTAGTGATAATCTTCTGAAGTTTTTCGTTATTTCTTTTAACCTTTGTGTTGCTGTTATAAAATATCACGGCAATATCGGTTTTCGCATATTTTATAGGAATCTCTAAAAGTTCATCACCAACCCTCGCTCGATCGCGAGAATTTTGGACATGGCGGTTTAGGGTTGGCACGGTGGGTTTACGGAAGGGCCAAATGCATCGGGGACCACGCACACCACTGGGGGTCTCGGACCGAGGAGGGGTAAAAACCCGCCTAAAATTCGGGCAGATAATATCGTGTTATAGCTATATGAATGTACCCGTGAATCCTCGGTGTACGAAAACCAAATCTTCCCCAAAAATTGTAAGTGTTATAGTGATTTTAAAATACAAGCTTAATCAAACAAATATTTGTAAAAACTATGGAATTTCTGCTCTGTTAAACCATTTGAACAGCACGCGAATCGAACCAAAATTTTGTAGACAGTTACGATTCAAAAGATTGGACCCCAGATGTTTTACGTTCGATAGGTGTTTAATTATAATTTTTCTGTTTTTATTAAACATAATTTACAGTACTGTATTACGTATTTCAATCATTTATAAATAAATAATTATATCATTGTGTAACTTTTCAAATAAAAGTGATACTATGAGCTGGAAAAATTGGTATTCTTTTCACTCTACTCACGTTATTTGAATGACCACACTTGACAAAGTACTTCGATGGCCGCGGCTATGCCGAAACATCACAGAGCTTTCTTGCTAAAACTAGCACTCATCTGCTACGAAACCAAAACAAAACGCCGAAACATCATAGCCTTCTTGCTAAAACTAGCACTCATCTACCACGAAACCAAAACGATAATCTTCTAGGCCTAAGCCTGTATTTTTTCAGGATACTCAATCATACTCAATAGATGTTTTCTGTCCAAGTTATTCACACGATATTGACAACCTTATATATACGTGCAAGCAGGTAGGACTATCGGGTATCACCTGTACGTCTTGATATTATCTTTTTACTTGAACTTAGTTGTAGTTAGTTTAAGTGGGTGTTACTGTTTCTTGTTCTTGTTATTACTCTTAATTAATTTTTAATTATGGTTGTATTGTACTTGCCTCATTTTGGCCCCTATTTTGTAACAAACACCTTCGGGCTTCATGAGAGTTAATTTTTTGTCATGCTTTTATTCTTGTCTGACGAAATAAAGAATTTTGTATTTGTATTTATAGAGTGGTTTTGTTAACCTTTTAGATCGTAAAAATGGTAGATCGTAAAGTGGCCGATATGATCAGATTTCTTGAAACGAGTGACCGTGATTGATGGAATTACGCAGTATGATAGAAACCTAACCTATGAACAACACGGTTTCATATATTTAATAGGCCTACACATTTCACGAATTTCCCCATCACTTTTCCTCAAAAACGTTTCATACTATTAATTTTCCAAGCATTCTCCTCAATGTACCAATGGTTACAGTCAAATATCGTCAGAAAAAAAGCCTCTGATAGCAAATGTTTTGTCCTCAAACACGATGGCATAAGACCGGTCGTTAGCGATCAACATTGTGACCAGCAGACGAAACAAAAACCACAAAGAAAGCATTAAACATGGACAGTTCAAAGAAATCTAGTTGGGAAACAAATGTTTCTTTTAAAGAAGATTAATTCTAAGATAAAAATGAGCATTTCTTACGTCGCTCTGGGAAGAACATCATTCCAAAACTTAGCTGAAGCAATTGAAAAGACCTTTCATATTAAATCGAGGTATATGACGGCAAAAGGAGGTATATGAACCAGCCTGATATGAACGGCGATAATTACCATGGGGATATTGTTGATTAGCGATAAGAGACTAAATGAAAGCAGAGGTGGTTACAAGATTAAATAATAATATTCAATTTGGATTATTTTTTTAATAAATAAAAAATATATATAAAAAATATATATTTTTATTTTCAAACATTGTTAACAATGAATTAAGTTAATAATAATAATTAAAAAAACTCGTTTCTGCCACCAAACACGCATGGACCGACACACCCTCACACTGGACACCAATAAGAAACATATTCATAAATTAGGAATGAAAAATTTCATTTATTTAATAATGGGTCCTTACCTTTTATTCAAAATGGATTGTGTGAGTGATTACCGGTATTGAAAATTAATTCTAAAATTAGGCCTCTTATAAATACAATTAAATTCCCAATATACGGACACTGATTTCTAAACGGAACTACTGTTGGTACCCCAACAATTTTGCATGTTTTTGATTACAAACAGTACTAATTTTCTGAGCCCGTCAAACCCCCTGAAAGTGTAATAACGAAAAATGACGACAAATAATTGTGTGTGTATGGTAAACTAAAAAGTATAAACATATCTTATAAACTTGTTGCAATATAATTGGTCAAAAAAACCTATTATTTTATATGTTGCAGTTTATTTTGAATTACATATTCATGTATATGTTAAAGTGTACAAAGTTGTCTACCCCTCCTTCTAGCGTACTTTTTGTAGGCCAACACTTGTGAAAATATTGATATTGTGAAAGGCCATTATAGCATTTTAAAATCACTTGCGATGCAAAATGCTAGGGCCAACTTTTTCATACTCTTGTTTAGTGATCCGCATTTGTGGGAATGACGAATGTGAGGCTAGGATTGATCCGCCTATCCATACTGAATATTTTCTCGTCGGTGTTGCAATTATATATTTTTTTCATTGCAGCCAGAGCCAACGCTGACATTTCCTTACGCATTCTCTTAGTTAATCCAGGAAACAATGTATTTCCACCTGACAGAATCATTTTTCTCAGAGTTTTACACGAACGTCAACATCACATTTCAGTATGTTAATATTTATGCACCGATACTTCTTGGAAATTCGTTTTCCCTACTGTCCTTTCCACCTCCAAAATACTGGGCGCTACGACATCCTTCCTCTTAGCTTGTTGCTGTTTTAAAGACTTTTTACTCCTGAAATTCGGTTAGGGGAAACCAATCGTGTGCAACGGTATAAAACACGACCGAATCACACTATCAGCTTATGTGTCACTTTATTGTGTACAGTGAGGGTGGTGGTCAAGTGTGGGGTCCACTCTTGACCATTACCTAGGAATACAATTTCAAAAAATTCTATTTTATCAGAATCACAATCGTGATAAGTACGGAAGAGCTTGGAAAAGTTGTAAAATTTTGGGATGATAGGCCTAATAAAGAACATTGGACATAAGAAGAACAAATGAAGAGGAACTTTATGTTGAAAAAATAAATCTAATTACATTATAAAAAGAAAACAAAAAAGTAGATTAGGGAGATGCTTATGCATGACATACTCCTTCTTAACTAAGGACTTACTGCCAACAATAATGACTCGTAGTTTTTTTTTTTCAAGTTGTGTATTTGTTGCAGCATTGTATCTCTTGTTCAAAATTCAATGCGACGTAGCACAATTCTTTCATGTCTCGCACTCCCGTTCCGCTGAAAGAAAATGATACCAGTTAACTTAAATGACCTTTACATACTATCGATCTTCAACAGCTGACCAATCGGAAGAGGGCCAGAAGCGATCAACTTCAACTCACCCAGAGAAAGTTAAAAACAAAAATTTCTATGAATTTATGGAACATCAGAGAGTAATTTTTGAGTAATGATTTAACATGACGGTCTATGCATCAAGAGCTGAAAATAAGTTTCTCACCTCAACCCACCGTGACTCCTTTCGCTCTCGACCCATCAACCGTTTATGATTAGATCGTGTTCTTAAGGCCAAATATCCTCTTCGATAAAGTGATATTAAGACAAATAAAATTTCTAAATAAATATTGTATTAGTACTAAATCATGTGCATGTCTTGCGCAGTCAACAGCTCAGTTTGTGGTTGAAGTGGGTGAGGTGGTCACAGGAAAAAAAATCTGGTGTAGAAATAATAGAAGTTTAAAATGTTTTAATATACCTGTCGTTGTAAATGAGTATTATCTTTCTTCGAGTATCTTCATCAAGTAGTTCGTCAAATCACGTCCAGCTATATCCGTTCTAATGACTGCATCTGGTAAAGAATATCCTTCATAAATTGGCACCGTCTGGCTAACGCCGTCTCCCGAATCTAACACAATTCCTGTAAATCCGACCTGAAGCGTAGAGAGAGACCGGACTGCTTGTATGGCACTATACATAACAGGACATTTGAATGTTTCGAACATAATCTATAAAATAATAATATACATATTATTAAAAATGTTAGCATCTAAGACTAGGTACAGGCTGCAGTAGCGGATCCAGGAATTCGAAACAGAGGGGGCCCAGAAAAGGACTTTTACGGACGGAGGGTCTAGACCACCTCAGCCCCAACATGGTTGGGGCTGAGGTAAAAAAATTTTGGCCCCTCTAGATGACACCATTGAACAAAACAGTTTTGTTCAATTTCAAGAATTGAGCTTAAACACAGGAAGTCTACCGTTGAGGAGCATTTTGAATGTTCTATGATGGTAAGGGTGAGTTTATAACTGAGGAACAATACGTAATTCGAGGGAACTATTACTTTTTAAGTAGTGTATTATTACATGGTTTTTCGATATCTTTTATCATGATGTTTAATTAGCTATAGAAAAAAAACTGTCATCATAGAGTAATACTTGATACCATAAATAGCGTCCCCATCTTTAATTATTTTGTAACTATTAAACAATAGGCCTATGATTTAAACTATCAAATAATGAATTAGACCCGACCCCAATCGCAAGGGGCCTCGCGTAAGTCAGGTTAAGGGCAACATTGACCGAAACTAAATGATATGGCAGTGATGGCGCCAGGATCTACCCGAGAGGTCTAAAGGCCCCGACGGTGTGGGGGGGGGGCTAGGCGAGCGAAGCGATCCTCACTTGGCTGGGGGTAGCCGCCTAGGGGTCACAGGTTGGGGGAAGCTACGGATATTTGTCGAATTTTGGTAAATTTTTATTAGTTATTTGATAGGCATCAAGCTACCGTAATATGACTTTATGTAGGCCTATGTTTTTTAATGTCGAAATTCCAAAACCGATTTTTTAAAATAAAACAACGAGAAACAAAGAGTAGGCCTATGCAATGTAACCAACTAACTTATTTTCAAATCCGTTTTACATTTTATATTATTAAAAAAAACCACCCTATTACAGTACAATAGGCCTACTACGCTCCCATCATGGCGAAATCCAGGTTTTTCATAATCCATGTGATTGTGAATTATTAACAACAAAATTACGAATAAGAATTCTATTGAATTGTAAGGCCACTAATCTGTGACATCATTATACTGTCACGCCAATATTGATCCGGGCCAAAAAAATAATCTTTTGCAGTGACAAAATAATTCGTAGGCCTGTTAAGCTTTTGTGGACGTGGTTGGCTTAGGTTTGGGCCTAAAATGGACCACAATACTGATTTATTCGTTTTAAATATTCCATATTATTGTGTGGGGTATGTCATACAATAGTTGTTCTATTATATGAAAATAAAGGGGTCAATAATTTCTTTGAAATGATTGCTCATGTATTTCGTCGTGGCGTTAAGCAAGCACACAACCAAAACAAAACAAGGTAAAAAATAAAGTAAAGCGGACCAATACGATTTACGATCATATCCTTTAACTTCTTTTTCTAACTTTTACACCAAAGAGTTTACTAGGAGCGAAGATCGAAAACAACATACCAATTTTTGTAGCTGTGTATACTCGATTGCACAACGGATGTAAAAATATTATATAAGAGATGAAATATTTATCTATCGTTTGATTAAAAACAAATCGCTAAAAAAAAGTACAGGCTATAACTACTAAATAGATGCCGGACCGATTTTGGCTTATGTGGACTACATTTGGCAGGTAATTTTAAAGCCAAATCGGTCCGGCGTACCGATTTTGGCCCCGGACCAAATTTTTCCTGACATACGATTAATTAAGAAAACACAATGTCACCGGGAACGTCAAAAGCTTTTAATTGAAAGCGAAGTTATAAATTTTGGAAATTTTGCCTGAAATCTGTAAACCACGAGGTTGCGCCCCGATCAAGATGTATTCCAAGCATCATGAGGATATCCAAACGAGCATTTGTCATAGTAGAACGTAAACCATTTTAATTAGTCCCATTGAACAGGGGCGGATCCAGAATTTTTTAAACGGAGAGAGGGCATTTGTATTTAAAAAAAAATTCAATACATAATATTAATATGCACTGACATTTTAAAAAATAGTGTCATAACGCTGTTTTGACACTTGACACTGTTCTGCTGACTTACATTCCAATAGATGTTTGAACGTAATTAATTCATTATGAAGAAGAATATCTGTTGTTTCATTAGCTTAATTCAATGTGAAAAGTAATATATACGGTAGTCGGATAACTTACAATAAAACGGCACGTGAATTTATGTTCTTAACACAAACGGTACCGTACACAAATAGGTCAATGAAGGCGATAGGGTTGCTAAACGAACAGACATGTAAAAATATTTTTTTAATTTTTTTTATTCCTCGACGGAATGTATTCGTCTTCCCCGACGAGGGAGATATAGCCCCAGCCCCCTCTGGCGCCACCACTGTGATATGGGGCATTTTATATTTTCTTGTGCCCCGGCCGAGTTCTTCTAACTGTACCTGTGTCATTTTCTCTTTGGCTTCGGATTGAGCGGTGCCTCTGTCAGCAAGATTGGGTGTTTCTCCGGGTCACCTTTTAGCTCGTTGTAGGTATAGTGCCAAATCATTTCCATGTCATTCCAGTTAGTTACTATGTTCGATGAGATATTTAAGTGTCAAGATACCTTGTTTGCTCTGAGCTTCATCCCCAAAATAGGTGTCCTTCTGATCTTTATCAACCATTACTTCCTGCAGTACAATTTACATCACCGTCATTATTATAGTAAGAAAAGTTTTCATCATCATCATCATCATCATCATCATCATCATCAATATTAACAGCATGTATACTAATGATCTGACTCCGTTGTTAGATAGATACTTCCCAGAATGATGCTGTTGTGACAACAGCGAAAGCTCGGACTTAGATCTAAACCAAGACTCTGTAAGGTAGCATTTTGATTACCATCATCATTATTACAAAATTGCACCATTTTCATCATTCAAAACATAAATCACACTAACTATTAGGATACTGATGATTACAAAGACAACAATATCTTTCAATTTCATAACTATATTTACCTGGTGTCGTAGCCTGCCGGTAAATGAAGGAAACACAGCTTTCGGAGAATCGTCCCTGCGAATCCAGCTTTACACGTTCCCGATCCATTGTCAATTGTCAAGGTAACGTCTTCACTGCTCATGTTGCTTAATGGAGTAAACTTTCTAAATAACAATTTAGGTACGTGCAGCACAATGCCATTTCTCTTGTTCTTATCTTTTACCGGTGAAAAATCGAACAATTATTTATCAAAAACTAAGCCCTATTATAATTAATTTAGCAATTTTATTCATTAGAAAATAATTGTTACAAAATACGGTACATATCTCACATAGACCTACAAAACTTACAATTATACATTAAACGTAGATGCAATCTGGTCCATCTGATTTAAGCTCCGAATAGCCTTTGAAAGGCAAGATGTATCTTAAAAGTTTTAAACGTTTATTTTTTTTCTGACGTGCCTTTAATATTCATTCTGTTACAATTTTATTTATGTTTGGACAGTGGTGTAACACCTCTGAGCTCTCACTGGCTAAAACCAGAGGGTCACAGACCTTAATGGCTTCGGGATATTACTCGGTTGCTCTATGGGAAAATTAATAATAGCCTACCGTTAAAAAAAATAAAATAAAAAGAACGCTTGCCCCAGGTAATAAGGTTCGAAGAAGCCTTAGCCAGGGGCCTCATGCCTTTGTTACGCCGGAGGGCTTCTGAGTTACAGTACTTTTGCTCAAGCACTTACTATATAAGAATTCAGTGATTAACTGTATAATCGTCTATCCGTGCTTGTTGTTCTTAGCTCAACAATGACATATGGTAATGTTTCCTTTAAAACATAAATACTTTGATACTTGGCCTTTGTTCAAAATGTATTAGTTTAACATGGACAATAGGAATATACGCCCTACCTTTATAAACTACCATAAATCTTTTTAACGTGAGGCGATAAACAAATATTCCACAAAAAATTATAATAAATCTATCACGTAGATGAAAATCATTAAAAACATTTTACCAATGTTCTAATTGTTAGAGTCGTATTTATATTGTTCTATTTACTTTGTTAATTTTTCAAGACAATTGAATGTTTAAACATATTATTTAATAACTGAATATAGTGACTCATATAACAAAGGTCAGGGAAAAGAGGAAGGATACGAGGTGCAAAAAGTCCGGAAATGATCTCATGTTGCAAGTGGAAGCGACTGAGGTCCAAAGTTTCCGTGCAATAAAAGAAAGTATATTGGCCCGTTTTTACAAGTTTGAGGCGAGAACAACAAGTACTGTATAATACAAAAAGGAGCACTTGAGTTCATAACTCCACCACACCACTTTACGTTTGTGATCTTCGACCTTTTACATCAAAATATAATAAAAGTACAATTTTTTTGTTTTCTGAAAAGGGGGGAGGGAAGGGGGGTTTTGGGGTGCAAGGTCCCAGACGAGAGCAAAGTGGGCGTGGTCGGGTGTCGATTAAAATGTTTCGAAAGTGGTCCAGGATGCGCAGCCTGCAATGATTGTGATTTTTCTTCTTTTCTGGGGGTGGGGGGGGAGAGAAAAAGATTGTCTGGGGATGCCCCACCCCCGTAGTGCCGCCACTGAAACGATGATTCATTAATTTTTTTTTTTGCATAGTCCTAATAATTCTGGGGTGAAGTTGTATTAGCTTAGTGGTTAAGATGATTGCTTTATAACTGCAGGTTCCCATGACTAAACGCAACTCCAATCCCAAGCTTTATAAAGACACATAACCATTTTCCACATTATCAAAATTGTATGTGACAAACTTGTTTGACGTGCCCATATATGGACATGTCATATTACACCCAAATATGGGCATACCACATTTTATTTGTCAGAGCTTTAGTTTGTAAATTATCGCTAAGTTCTGTAATTGACGAGTTACTTGCTGTTGGATGTGGACGAAATAAAAAAAACCATCAAACTGACCATTTTGTGAAAATTGCTGAAAGTTTCATAGCCAAGTGGATTGTTAAAGCAAGGTAATTTAACAAAAGGACGCACATCTCGGGACATCAAAGGCATTCTGATCGGATTTTCTCTGCTGTTCCGTTTTAATTTTAAATAGTTTTGCATTATGTGGCCGTTTGCTGTTTTATGGGTTTTTCCCATTTGCCTTTCAAACTTTTATATTAGTTAAGAATCTCTATTGAGATCCAGCGTCGCCATTGATGCACGGTAGAGATTGCATCTTTAGATCTCCGATCTTGTTCACAAATTCACGGGCTAGAGCTGTCTCGTAAGAATGACAAAACATTCTCTGTATCTACTGGAACCGAGCCGCATAGCTTGTATTCCACTATTTGCATTCACACCTGGGCTGTGTATATATATTGCCTTGGTTTGGCTCTGTAATCATTAGTGGCCGTGGGACTAGTTTGGAGTTTGGGCCCTACCTAAGCTGGTCGAACGTTTCGTTTGGGTCTGTACCCTAGCTGCCCTGATGAGGCCTGGAAGGCCGAAACGGATCCGTCTGCAGATATTGGGATTCCTTCCAGTGGATGCTTAGTTAATTTTGTCATTCTGATCGGATTTTCTCTACTGTTCTGTTTTAATCTTAATTTTAAATTGTTTTGCATTACAGTATATGGCCGTATGCTGTTTTATGGGTTTTTCCCATTTGCCAAAAATCTGCACATGCTCAATGGATCGGAATAAACAAAATGATTGGACCTGTGCATTCCCCTCCCCCCACCCACAAACTACTGCTGCCACTGCTAACTCTTCCCCCCACCCACAAACTCCTGCTGCCACTGCTAACTCTATAGATTCATTATGGCAATGGTAGGAGACCTATATAATAGTGCATTCCATAATACATGCCTTGTTCTGTAATAAAAAGGAAAATAAATTATAATCAAATCTACCTCAGTATTAAAAGACACTTATTTTTTTTTTTTTATTTTAAAAATCCAAAATACAATTTATAATCCATCTACTGCATATTTTATTTGGTCAGGAATAACAGAAAACACAGCAATTGGAAATTCCACTACAGTAAATTGTCTTAGAACTGGAATTCTCTTTATCTGGTTTTGAGTTGCTTATGTCCAGATCTGAACCAGCGATCCCTCATTGTGGCTTCAAAGTGCTGGTAAACGGAGCGGTAATGCTGGTTTCTCTGCTTCTGGTTTGATTGTAGGATATTCACTGGCTTAGTTTCCGATTTTTTCTTTTTCCGCAGTTTATTTTCTCAAGCACCTTAAGCATTCCTTTAAAATGGGTTTGAGCGCTTTACAAATATTATTTATTATTATTATTATTATTACTGCTGGCATCAGAAACTCTACATCAGCATACAGTACCACAGCCTCAATGTTACTGACTTGTTAATAGCCTGCAAACAGATCCAAAGTGAAGTATTACAGACTTCACTAAATCATTGTCATCATTACTGTCTCTGGCATATCTTTTTCCGGGATCCATTCTAAGCATGACCAATGATCTTAATTCCTTCATGTCAAACCAAGCAAAGTCTTTGCTTCATCACTCTGAGCCATCAATGTTTCACTGGCATACCGCTCAAATAACTCTTGTTTCCTCCTCCTCAATAATGCTTCTTCAACCTATGAAAGATGAAACAAAATGAATATGTGATGAATAATAATGTGGATAAAATGAGAAAATCACTTTTTTGCAAAAATATAAATTTATCCCCAAAGAGCAGCTAAAATTCATATACAAAAAAACCCACTTTTTTAAATATTAAAATAAGAATTTTAGGCCATTGGTTATATTACCATTTTACCAGCTAAAATGCATAATTACATAATAGTCAGCCATGAACTCTAAAATTAGGCATAGATGGACTTTGCTTCGTAGAAAAAAATTGTGCATTCCCCCACTGAATAAAAAAAAAAAAAAAAATGAGGCCATATTCCAAGACACTAAAAGAGCTAAAGAAAGAGTAAATTGTCCTTTTTGTTCAATTTCAAATATTATATATATTTTTGCTGGGCACCTGCAGCAGTATTTCACAAGAGTGCCAACATGTAACCAACGCATGGTCTCTTGTCCCGCCTAACTCTTATTCAAAGGTTTTTTGAGAGCGATCAAATCATGCCACCTCATTCCCTTAACTAGTACCCCTCCACTTCCTCATCAAGCACTGTCCTCTAACCCAAAGTGGTTGTTTCCCTTTTAGACGAGACTTTTTTTATACCTTGTTTCACAATCTTATTTTTTTAAAGATCGATTTTAAAGAGGTGGGCGTAAAAAAAAAAAATTTTGACACTTACTTCTTTCTGTGAAGGCACCGGCACATGAGCCACATATCGAGGCTGTTCTTCATCTGTGCTTTTGAGTTCAGTTTCCATTTTCTCATCATCTGACTTTAAATCAAATAAATAAAATAAATCTATAAATATTTGATATAAATAAACAAAATCCAGATGTTAACACTAGTATTAACAATAAAAACTGTAGAAATTACAATTGGAGATTATCTGTTGATTAACACAACAGGCCAGTAGACGTTTTGTTGGTTATTTATGAAGGGAAATTTAGGTACGCATTCCAATGTTTTAAATAGTGTATATTCTTGCTTTTAATCCTTAAAAACCATTTGGAATCAACCTGAAATAAAGACGGAACTCGACAAGTTCCTACTGGTTACTCTTTTTAGTAGACGTCTAATTCAAATTCGTTAAGATTCGTTAGTGTAAATTGCAAATGCACCTCAAGAAGTTATTCAAAACATGTTGCTAATTTTATTACAGAGAAAATTTGTAGAGAAGAAAATCTAATTTGTTAGGTTTATTTAGATTTGACTCTAAAATAATACCATGAGGATTTCTTATTTGTTTTTTGCTTTGCTTTATAAATTTGTTTAACAAAACATTCTTGATTACACTGAGCTTGTTTACTGTCACGCACTATGAAACTTTGGGCGATCTGACGTCATCACAGCCGAAGCACATGTCTAGTGCAAAACACCCCACGAAAATGGACCAATTGGCGGGCAGGCAGAGTTTTTGGGGGCACGACCTATTCTGTTTACAACTAGAGTGCCGACCAGCATTACCCAACGAAGAATGTGTGCTTGGAAAAACATAATCAGACCTAAAGAAATGCACGCAAAAACAATATACAAATCGCATTAATTTTATTGGTAATAATTAAATTTAGGTCTGGTTTACACATAATCGCAACATGCTATCACTGACAACTTTTGGTGATGCTGATTGGTCGATCGAATTAAAGAGCTTTCCTGATTTCATTGGGAATAGTTATGCAGTGAAAACACTGTAGCAATTTTATGGAGACAAGCTTTACTATATTTATGGGAAAATCAACCAGAAAAGGCTGAAGAAAATATATATTTTGGGATTACGCTATTCAAGTAAACTTACATTATCTTCCGGTGCTACAGCATAAATATCCTCCTCCTCCTTTACAATGTTACCAAGAAGGCCTGCTTCCTTCTTTGATTTCCATTCTGAAACTGCTGCCTCAATAACTAATAAAAGAAATATTTCAAATGCAAGATGAATGGGAAATCTGTCAGGCCACCTGTATTTTTTTGACAAATTAATATACTGTATTTAATTTAGATGTGTTCAATCAAGCCATTCCACCTGGTTAACAATACTTGTAGGAATTCCTATATTTATTACTTGTAATCCTCTTTATAAGTTTCAGTGGCATAGCTAGGTGAGAACAGGTCCCAGTGCAAGAATAACTGATGGGCCCTTTTAAGTGCTTCTTACCTTTTTACCCCTACACCTAATGTCCTAGGCTAGTAATACTAATGAAAAATCAAAAGAACCTTTCTACTTATTTCAAGAGGGGCCTAACACAGTAATAAACAATTGCTTTTCTTCAAAAATATTAAATTGGAAATTATTTTTAATTATTAATGTTAGGCCTACTTATGATTGGGCCCCTAATAGCTCTGGGTCTAAATGCTTTGCACTGGCTGCACTGCCTATCCCTACACCACTGATGGTCTTCACTTGTTAGAACAGATAAAATATACAGTAGTTATAAATAAGAATATAACTTTATAATGCATACATACTTGCTTTTTCATGTTCTAATTCTAAAGGTACCAAAACACCATCATCCTCATCCCGGTAACCATAGTAATCAGCATTGATAAATTTCATGATTTCAGACCTAGTTTTCCTTGGTGCGGTTGGTGCTATTTAAAAACATGAATTAAAATCTCATTATACTATAAAATAAGATCATTATGCTAAAAGAATAGATATAATTGTTTTATTGCAGCTGTATTAAAAGATACACAAAGTATACATTAATTATTAACATACACAGTACGATACCAGATTCAAATTAAAGTTTCTGTTTTGTAAACCGTGTTTACTGTTCTTGTTGACAAAATTTTAATATTGAATACTAGGTCGATCCTAAATTTCTAATAGATTTAACTAACTCTTCATTCCACATAGTAATTGATAGATTCTTACAAATTTGTACTTTCAAGACTATCAAATTTTATTTGACAAAAATATGTGACATGCCTAATATTTCATAGTCTGGACTGAGCTTTACAATAAATGAACTTTGTCCCCACCTTCCTGCTCAAACAGCTCCCTCACACCTGGCAAATCTCTTGCTGCCCCAAAATACTTGTAGCCTCTGTTACCAGGCACTTCTTTTCCTTCATGGTCCAACATCTTTGGTCCTACTTTCTGCCAATACAATTTTAAGAAAATAATGAAGTAAACAACAACAATTTAAAATAACAGTATTTCAGAAAGAAAATTTGATATTACTTTCACAAAAGATTAATTATCTAAATATGTATAGCATAGTTTGGGAGAATATTTTTTATTGTTTTATTTGTTCTGATAGCTGATTCAAAGACCAATTTTCTATGAGGAAATTGTTTGCTACATAGTGGCATTGTTTTATTACTATAGGAGGACCACAGGAGACTGGAATTGGAAGGTAGGCAACTTTTAGATTTTTTAGTGCCTCTCATGTTTTTTTCATCTTGCTTTTGTTTTATTTTTCCTTCTCTTTATGTTTTTAACAATTCTGTAATTATATTGTAAAGAGTTCATTAGTATATGTTGTATACAAAATAAATATATATAAAAAATAAACAACTATAATTATATATAATAAATACCTTATAATCAGGTCCGCCTAGCTCCACTATTCTAACCTCCCAATGACCCTTTTCTCGCAGTAACTTGTTGATTTCATCGTTCATGTCTCGTATCTTGAACTCCCCGAGACCAGCTGAAATAAAACACATATGATATTCATGATATGCAGGCTTTCCTATAAAATATAAATTTAAAACTGTATATTAAGATGTTAACCAATTAGTATTCATGAACTGTAAAACTTATATCATTTTTAATCACACTCTATCACACCTAAATTAAATATCACTTGTGTTTACCACAAACATATATAAGTTGTGACTAATCCTGATGATGACTGTTTGACATAGTCTAAACATGTCTGTAAGTCTAACTAAATTATTGTTTATTGCGGGTGAACTGCCTTTACAACCATTTGTTTCTATCATTAGTTGCTACTATAAAGCTGAAGCAGATTCTAAATTTAAAATTAATTATATTTATAATTTCTACAAAAATTACCATTTTGAATCTGTGCCACTTTTCTTGAAACCTCTCCTATGATCTGTCTTCTCCACTTTTCTGCCATATGTAAATCATCACATTCTGTTGCTAGGTAGGGTCTCCTTTCTTTTACTGCAACCTCACCTAGATTGGCCGCACGCCACCTGGCCAGGGTGGTCCTGGGTGGAAGTGGGTGGACATTAAAATTTTTATTAATGAGCAGTTAATTTTAATAAGAAGATTAGCAATACTGAACAACACAATGATCTATTCTAAAATGAAAAAAAAAAAACAATAAATTTTAAAATGTGAAAGTAGGAATGCCAATTACTTTCATTCAAAAATCAACAGATTTGTTTAAAAAATATAAAAACTATCAGTAACATGAAAATTACATTAATAATAATCATTTAAATACATGGCAGTCAATAATTACAAAATAAAAAATAAACATATGTATTATAAGCCAATTCCATGGCATTAACCAAGAATAAGTTACAAATTGGATAGAACTGTGTAAGAATAGTTTTTTTTTTTTGCACAGAGTATGTCATTTAAACAATGATGTACTTACATTGCCTTTTCTGAATTTCTAGCCTGAAAAAAAAAATTGCAAAAAACATGAAATTTGCTTATTTATTATATTCAGACAGAAGTAAATAGCATCAACAATTTCAAAGATTAAATATATAAATTCAGCATGATGATGCCCAGAATAAAATGTTGTGGATATTGTTCCGAAAAATAACTATGGCGTGGCATAACTAACTTGCAATGATATGTTCCTGTCTCTTATACAAGACGTCCACCAGTCCAGGCCCTGCAGGCGGTGGTGTTGTTGGCCAGGGCCTTTATTTAATAACTACAATGGGCCTAGGCCTAGGATCAGAGGCCTAGTCTACCCATAAAGAGAGCTAGTCTAGCCTAGGTCTATCCCGGATCACTTTTGCTCGTAAACATTTTCCAAGAACTATAACTGTCTTTTATTTCTTAAAATTAATAATTATTATTCTTACCATTGTAATTAAAATATTGTTTTCTTCAAACTATGAGCGTTAATTCGTTATCACGTCGTACCCAAAAATGTCGCCATTAACGAAAGCAACGGCATTCTCCATTGGGTAAATTGTTTCAAATGTCATATAATAGACCAATGGAAAGCTCCATTACATCTATGATCAGGTCAACATATCTCTCGGAAACACACATGTGTACTGTACTTTCCTGAAAACAGTGCGAGCGAGTGAGCGAGCGAGGGACAGGATAGAACTCTCGGATTTTAACTTTCTTCCAAATAAAAAACAATGGTATGTAGCACTTCTGTTTATTTATAGTATAAACCCCTGCCACAAGTTGTCTGGTTTACGTAGCCTCTGCAAGAAGTCATTTTATTGTTTTATTCTTAGAGTAAGCCTAGGTAGATAGACTAGCCCTAGCCTAGGCCGAATGCCATCCCGTTACTTCTGCTACAACTGTACTAGACTAGGCCTACGTACGGTCAGAGATAGAGAGCGCCAATTAATTATGTATATAAAATAAATTATTATGGCTCTCTAGAGAGTAGTGAGTAAGTGGTACTCTTTAGTTCTAGCCTAGGGAGTGACTAGTGTAGAAGGCCTAGGCTAGGTCAAACCTCATTACTTTTAAATCTAAATTGAAAACATATTTTTGAATTGATTGTTGGTAGTGCGAATATAATATTAAATATAGATTTATTTACATATTTTTGCTATTTATATATTTTTTATTGATTAATTTATTATTATTATTATTATTATTTATATTTTTTTTCTATATGGATATTCTTAAATATTTTGTGTGTTTTTTGTGTTTTTGTCTCTGCTTGTTCATTTTTGCATGTTTGTTTTTGTCTCATTTGTTATTGTATTTTTTCTAATTATTCAAACATTTTTTTCTGATGTGCTTTATATTTTTAATAGAGAGCCCTGAACATATCAATCAGCTGGCCTTCTTGGTTCAGTTGGAAGTGCTACCCTCTAGAAATAAAGTTAAAATTGAGAAGAATAAAGATCAAAATCTAATTTGGCCCAAACCCTAGATAACCCAAGGACTTGGCCTTAAAATGTTGCATTGCCAATTAACTGGCTTAGACAGTGACGGTATAATAGGCCCATGGTGGTACTGTATAAAAATCATAATATACTATACAAGGTATACGATTTATTAAACACCCAAATGGCAGCAAAACTGCTGAATTACATGTACATGGTAGAAATTACAAATTACAATCAAACCAGGCTGTATATATGCAGGGAATACTGATTTTCCAGGCAAATTTGAGCTGGTTTTTGAGATCATCTAGGCTATTTAAAAACTTTACAGTATACAGTCAAATATGCAAACATTTAAATTTATAATTATTAACCCATGGGTCTCTTCATGTCTGGGCTGACCACCAGTATGTACCAGGTACTCTCGTCTGTCCACAACAAGGGCTGTATAGACCAGTACACCGGGGTAACCACTACTCAACTCGAAAGATGTTACTGGGTTTTTTATTGTGCACATGAGCCACTTGTATACACTGGGCCTACAGTTTATAGTCCTTTTCCAAGAAGACTTGTTCCACCTCCAGAACTGTTAACGAGCGTGCCGTTCAAACCAATATTATGGCTGTAGGTTGCAGTCCCTTCCCTTAACTGCTCTGGAATTCGACTCTTTGCACCTTAGATTATTGCAAATTTAGTTTAACTATAGTTTATAACTATGGCGTGGCATAACTAACTTGCAATGATATGTTCATTCAACATTTTGTTTCATTTACCACATACCTTATCTTGATTGTCTATTCAGCTGAGGCGGCAGGCAAGGTTGAGGAGGGAGTACTTGTATTGTAAATCCCAGGAAGAACAGAGCCGAGTAATCATTGAAAGAAAACGAAAGATCAAAGAAGCCCTTGATGGTAATGTACTGTAGACCAAAAACATCCTTCTACAAAGTATAGTGACGTGTTGATTAATACCTATATTGTGTTATATAATCCTTAATAATGAAATTAATTATTTCTTAAGCCCCTTGAGTATTCAAGGCCCCAATGGGGCTTGGATGAGGGCCATCCAGGGCCTGCTACTGATATTTGAGAAATTATTATTAGTTATTTGATAGGCTGCATCTCTTAATCTTGGCCACCACTGACCTTCAGGCTGTCTCAGTGTGAGACATAAATTTGAAATTGTTATTATTTGAAAGAAAGTTCTTATTTATATTACTATTGAAGTCACGAAATACCCTTGCTACAAGGAAAGCTAACAAAGAAAGTAGATGCAGAGATTCAAACGTTACCCTTTCAATATCTACTGTATGTGGTACAACACAAGCATTTGTTGTTATTATTACTTCACCATGCAAACCTTAAAAAATGTGCAGTTTATATTTTAATACGTTCGCTGCCAGCGACGAGTATACTTTACCGGGGTAAAGTTGTAGTGTTTATTACTTCATTGTTATACATTGTAAAACCACAGACCTAACTGCTGATGGTTCGGGGAAGATACACCTAGACGATAACGTACAAATGATGTATGTATGTTTGTTATGTTATGTTGCTGGCAGTACACTCAATTGCACAAGAAATTCTGGGGCGGATGCAGGATTTGGCAATATTGGGTGCATGAAAGTCGACACCACCTCAGCTCCACGATAGTTGGGGCTGAGGTGAGAACATTTTAGGAATAATAAATGGATCTTTAGGTGCCCGGAAATCGCACTCTCATACCTTAAAGCTCTTACCGCTACCCGGCCTATGTTCATATCAACAATATACTACAAGAATTATTTTTTAATAAAATTTCGTGGGTGTGACCACACCTTCTGCACCTGTCTGCATCTGCCCCAGGGGTGACCTCTGAACATATACCAACCCAGGCAAAAAGTGGACGCGAAAACTCGCACTTGGCAGAGGCAGTAAAAAGTACTGTCCTATTGCTGGCGACGAGTGTACTTGTCCCCTAATATTTTCCCGCCCATTTATTAGACACACCATTTTGATGATATATGACTAGAAAAAATTTAAAAAAAAGTTTGTACTGTAAATTGTTCTGGCACATGGGCAGGAACCTTTAAAAAAATGTCTGGCAATTAACGTGTTAATACAGCCAGACAGGCTAATTGATTACTTTCCAATTTTTACAAATATGAAATCTTTGTTTTTAAGAAAATATAAAGCTTATTTCATGTAATATTCTCACTAGATATCAAATTTTTAAAATGTGCTTACAACAATTATACAGTTTTGTATTATTTATTTTTTGGGAGTGAAAAAGGTGGAAAAAGTAAATTATTGTAGTTTATTTATCACTTTAATTTCAGAAAACAAGCAGATTCCAACTGAATTACAGAAAGATGCTCTTAGTTTGAAGAAAGCTCTTGAATTTGATGATGAGGGAGCATCAGGTAGGAAATTGACTATCAAGCATTATTTGATAGAAAGATATTGTATGTCCATAGTCATGATGTGGCTATATATGGTCATGATGTGATGTCATCATGACCATATTTGGCATGTTGCATGCTTTCTTTCAAATAAAGTTTGATATTCTTGACAGGCCAAACATAAATAAAGTTATAACACTTACTGCGATTGCCTCCCCCACACCCCTCCTAATCAAGATGGTCTGTAATCTATATTTATCCGACATGGAGGTAAAACATAACAGAATAGTAAATAGGCCTATTGGTGCTTTGTAGTTATCTTGTTTTGTACATGACATTTTAGTTTATTTGGTTATTTTTCATCTTTTCCTTTAATGTATTCCGTATTTAAACCAACCAATTATTGTAAGCACTGTTTTAAAAGTGTTTATTCTTTTTAAATAAATAAATATATAAATATGATGATTTACTGGATTGGCCCTTGATGGTACTGTATATATGTTATATTTAAAAATTGATTGAATTTTAATAGACATATAAATCTTGAACAATAGTATAAATATTTCCAACTCCAATTATTGTATTTATTCCATTTAAGAACTCAGTCATATAGATGATGAATATCGATGGGCTGGTGTTGAAGACCCGAAAATAATGTTGACTACTTCTAGAGATCCTAGCTCCAGGCTTAAACAATTTGTGAAGGTACAGTGAAATGGAACAATCCGGAGTGTCATTCAAACTTGAGACAATTGAAAATAAGAAAGTATAATACATACTCCAAGTATTGAAATACACGCCATCGTGTTGGAATTCGGTATTTCAACATTAATTATGTCATCATCAGGAATGATGATAATAGTAATAATATAGAGATTTATACCGTACCTTTTGCTAAGGAATACAAGGCAGTGTTGTTATTATTACCCCTGGTCATCGGAACCATATTCAAACCAGCACAAAGTGCAACCTCCTCCACTGCCCGAGGAGTTTTCCTAGTCGTTTGTGCAATTTAATACTTGCAATGCCACATCATCCTACCAGGTACCCATTTATACTCCAGGGTGGAGAGAGGCAAACGTAAGTAAAGTGCCTTGCCCAAGGACACAAGTTATGCGACGGGTGTCCGATGACATAATTTCAAAGTATTGGATCCCAACACAAAGTAAAAGTAGTAGAAATTAAAGTAGTAGAAATTAAAGTAGTAAAAAATGCAAATGTTTTTGAATTTACAGGAGATTGGTTATATTCCGGGAGATCATGCTTCCTTGTGGGAGTGTGGGAGGCAGTTCCGATTTCCGGGAGCCTCCCGCGATGTTCCGGAGAATTGGGACCCCTGATATAGGTTGCCACTACAAGTGGACTCATGTTCGTACTAAGTACAGATAACAGAATATGATTTAGAAAATATTTGTTTGAAAAACATTTTTTTTTCTTTGCAGGAGTTGAAGTTGTTATTCCCAAACTCTCAGAGGTTAAATCGAGGAAATTATGAAATTAATCAGCTGGTAAATGCATGCAGGGCAAATGAGGTCACTGACCTTTTGATTGTGCATGAGCACAGAGGTGTACCAGGTGAGAATCAGTTGGATTTATCAAGGGACCGGGAGGTGTGTGCAGCAGTGGTACCAGAAATTTGCCGACAAAGGGTCTAACATATCCGATTAAGGGGTCCAAAGCAAGGGGCCAACGAAGCCATGGTCAGTGGCCCGGAATGTGCTTTTAGACCACAATATTAGGGGCAATCAAAATTTACGTTACTTGGATAGGCAAATTATTATTTTTTTTAATTTTTGATCCAATAACCTAGTTATGCGTCGGACGACTGGGGGTCCAGGCCTGTCCGACGGTGGGAAAATTTCCCAGCACGGCACTTATTCCATGTGGCCAAAAGCTCAGCTCATAGCCAAACACTTAGCTCATGTTGTTAGTGTTGATGATGTGTTTGTGTCAGTGATGATGTTGGTGAAAACCACAGATTGATGTGAGGAATATATTTATGATAAATGACGATGTTCCTTTGATGAGCATGGTTTCCATGGTCACCAGTGGTGTGTAATTCAGTTGGTGAATAGGGAGCTTTTGATTGCACGACAACGGTAGGACGTAGAATGTAATGACGTCACTAAAAGTCATCTGCGCATGCTAGAACGTTAAGTTCTCCTCGTTGTGTGGATTCTAGGACGTAATTCGGCCAAATCCATGTATGCAGAGAATGCAGGACGTCCTGTGAGACAGTCTCGCATGGGTGATTCAGTTCCTAGCGTCGCGTTGTCATGCAAATCGAAAAGCCCCGCCCTTGAATATTGTTGCTAAAGTCTTGTGTGTGTTTGTTGGACACGCATGTATTACTGGCACTGTTGTGATTGGTCAGTTTTTAGCTTTGATTGACAATCTGAAAAGTTCATTGGTTATACAGTACAACCTTTAGTGGTGATTACATTCAGAATTAATTGTTATAAAAACTTTTTTCTTCTTTTTTTAAATGTAGACCGATACTAATTATCGAAAAAGATCTAATTAGCCATTTGAAATTTTTTATTTTAGATGGTCTTCAGGTTTGTCACTTGCCGTATGGCCCAACAGCGTTTTTTAACTTGTCCAACGTTGTGATGCGCCATGACATACCAAACGTAGGGACCATGTCTGAAGCTTATCCTCATTTGATATTTAACAATTTCAAGTCAAAGCTTGGTGAAAGGGTAAGTGATGATGCTCTTTTTTATATAATCATTCCTATTGTATTGGAACTATTCCTAATCTGAAAAATAATTTTTTTTAAATTTTATTTTATTTTCATATTAACTGTCAGAGATAAAAATATTTATTATGTGGAGAAAAAAGATAATTATGTTCAAATTTAAGCCTGAGAGTGTCATTTCTGGCCGCCTAGAGGTACCATAATGATAAATGTTCTTACCTCAGCCCCAACCATGGTGGAGCTAAGGTGTCTGGACTCTCAATCTGTGAAAGTTCCTCCTTAGGCATGGTTAAACAAGAAATAAATAACAAAAAAATAAGCCCCTCTATTTCATATTCCTGGATTTGCCAATGATACCAACCACTGTTTCCTGGAGATACTTAAATATCAGATTAGGAGTCCTGTAGAGTTTTGTCTAAATCCTTTCTTCAATATTTTAAACCTTGTTTTATGTGATATTTTACTTATGTATTTTTTTATATACATTTCTTCTAATTTTGTTTTTATTTGAAAATAAATGCCATTGCCAATTGTTGGTTACAACCATTTTTCAGAGTTAAATATAACAGAGCGACTACTGGTCCATGTAATGATCTTCATCACATTTCTTGTTACTTATGATACTTATGTTATAATAATATCTATACAGTACTATAATATTCTTTAGCTGCAGAGTATTGCTTGTATAATTGCAGGTCCAGAGCATTCTGAAATATTTATTTCCTGTGCCTAAAGAGGATAGTAAACGAGTGATGACTTTCTCTAATGATTCTGACTACATATCATACAGGTAAGACAGATAGAACTAGTTTAGATCTTTTTTGCTTGCCTGGATAGGGTCCTAGGTTGAAATCGAGGACTTTTACCTGTACCAGAATAGGAAGCTCGCACCACCCGCCTGAACTCTTATCATTAACACGTGCGGTTGTCTTTTGGCAAGTTCTGCACATGCTCAGGAGTACAGTATATTGAGAAAAACCTGATGGGATTGTATCTATCCTGTGTTAAACTCTGTTAAAACAAAATAATCAAAAACCCCAAAATACTCAAAACAAATGGCCCTTTTCAGGGGCAACATAATGTAAAAATATTTTTTAGTTTCTGTCTGTTTATTATTTCAATACCTTGCCAATAAACAAAGTACATGCAAAGTATTTAACATAGTATTGGATATAAAAAAAGATAAATATAATGTCAGTTTTAAAATTTTGAAAACTCTTAAACATTCAATAAATTGCTCATTTAAAAGAATAAAATAAATAACTTCCAAATGTTATGTATTTGCAAAAAGTAATTTCATGTCCTATAAATATAATTGAATGCTTAAGTATAAAAAGTAAGCAATTAAATATTAATTTTATATTTCAAGAAATTAGTTCGATGCAGACCTTAGTTTTCATATGTCGTCATTTAAAAATAAATTCATGTATATTATTTTTCTAATGATTATAAAAAATACTGTAAAACAGATTGTGTTATAATTTCATAAATAAATTTTCTATTTTTTGTTGCAGACACCATGTGTATAAGAAAACAGACCACAAAAATATTGAATTACATGAAGTTGGACCAAGATTTGAAATGAAATGTAAGTTTTGCTGTTACACTTCTTATGTTCATTCTTCTTGTTTGATAATCAACCGAGCATCTATATTTCATTTTAATAATTATTTGTATTCATATTCGAAATTCTTGCAGTGTACGAGATTCGTTCAGGCACACTAGAGCAAGGAAAGGCTGCTGAAATCGAATGGGTTGCTAGGCCTCACATGAACACTGCTAAGAAACGCAAGCATCTGAGCGAAGGATGAAAGGACCAGGAGCAGGTTAAGCATAACTACAGGGAGTGATCTAAATGTTGGCGAAACATCAGAAATGAAGCTGACAGCAAATGTTGTTGCAAAGTGTCATGCTTTTCAAGGAACAGCCATGTGCATGTATCAACATATACTGCAATGCATTATGGTTCACATGACGACTTGTAAAAATGTTGTATTGTCACATACAAAACAATACCAACTATGCACTGCTACACAACTGTGACAATCATGTGACCTGCATAAAAGTTACTTGAATTAATTGATGAATTGAACATATTTGAGAGGTGGGCATTGTTCCATTGCCTGGATTGAACTTAATAAATGGGGGGAAGGGAAAGTACATTATCTTGCAAATGAAAAATGCAGGTATCTCATAAGCTGAAACATTGGCATATTTAGTGCCTTGTAGTTTAAATTCATCTTCATCATGGCCATATAACATCTGGTAAAAATATACTTAGCATAAATATTTTAAGTGAAAAATTATCATAGAGAGTATATTTTATCAAAAATAAATCCAGTTTAAAGCTCTGATATATTTAGACAAATTTGCATCAGTATAGTTTTTCTATGGGGCTAAAAATATCATTCTAAGGCAAGAGATTACATGTCAGTTAATTTTGAATTAAGTTTGAATCAAGGTCACAATTTGATCCTGGATATATAAATTTATATTTTAATGATGTGAATTGAGCTGTAGTCTGGTTGTTGAGCTGTTCATCTTAAAAATAATAATATGTCGGTCTTACATAGCGTTTCATGCCTAAAGCCTCTAAGCGCTTCACATTACTACCCCGGCCATTGGATCAAACACGTATGGAACACATACTCAGCTCCCTGGGGAGAATTACATAATATTGCAGCTAGTAATCAATGCAGTCGTGTTCGAAACTACCAGGTACCTACTTGTACCTCTGGGTTGAGAGAGGTAAACATAGGTAAAGTATCTTGCCTAAGGACATGATGCAATTCCATAGAGACTGCAACGTTACAAGCACATGTTTTAGCTGATACTTTTTAATGATGATCCACTCAGGGCTGCCACCGAGAATCAGTAAAGGGCGTTGAGTGGAGATGGAATCATTGGGCAACAGTCATAGTGTGTGCCCAGCTTTAGGACCGTGGATTCAGATCCTGACATTGGCATTGGCGTAACGCCTGTGGGCTCATTTGGGGGAACAAAGCCCCAATGCCCTCAGTCCAAAGGGGCCCCGGAGTGTATGAAAATAAATGTTGATTCTATTGTTTATAGCCAGACAATATAATTTTATTTTATAACGATACTGTCAATGCCTTTAATTCATTTTTTTACCCTTAATATTCATAATGTTCTTAGGTTAGTGAATACTAACTGAAATTCAAGGCCTCAACATGTTTTCTGGCCCTGTGACTCGTCTTTATGCCACTGGACATGGGCAAAGTACTGAAATGAGTAAGAATTAAAGGATATTACTGTGTATCAGAAATTGTTTGCAAGTTCAGATTTATGTTGAGGGATGTGGCAGGGCAGTGTAGAGTTGGGCTTTTCAATTGAACAACCTTAGGGTCTGGTCACACTCCAGGGCGCCCTCCAATTAAAGATCACTTTTCCTGGTCTTTAAAAGTTTGTCTTTATTAGAAAATAAAAATATTACTATAGAGTCAGTTGGGACTGTAGAAAGGTGGTCTTTAATTGGATGGGTTTTTAATTAGAGGGAGACCTGTATTAAGTTTTAGGTGACATATCTCTGGTTTGCCCATATATGGGTATGATATAACAACATTATGCCCATATATAGACAAATTAATATTTTTTCACAGAAGTGTTGATACTTTATCAGCCCAGTCATTTATTTTCTTTATTCACTTGTTCACTCCGTCTTTTATTTGTTTATTTTATTTATTACATTTATTTATCCATGCCTTCAACATTTAAAAATAATTTCCACTTGGCCTCTGCATATTACATGAAGTTGAGAATAAAACTATATACAGTCAAGCAATTTAATGCCCATATATGGACAAATTAATATTTTTCAGAGAAATGTTGATACTGTATCAGCCCAGTCATTTATTTTATTTATTAACTAACTTTTTGCCCCTTTAGTTGGTCTTTTGTGTATCCGAATAAATATTTAGTATTATTGTGTTTAAGTTAAATTCCACTTCACGGACAATGTATCCGAAATCATGAAGAAACACACAGTACTGTAAAAAAAAATTCACAGTAAGTAACATGGTAACATTATAATTAATTGTAAAAATTATCACACATTGTTTGTATTTTTTAAGTTATGTTGATGCCTTAAAAAACAAGTCCCATTACCTTATACTGTATTAGCAATGTTGATTCTGATAATATTGGTCGTCATCATCATCATTATCGTCACCATTGGTATTATTTAATTATTGTCATTGTCATGATAATTATTAGATCTATATTACTGTGCTTATTTATACTGTACTTTACTGCATATACCTCAACTAGGCCTAAATACATTTCGTAGGCCTACAACTTATAAGTATTTATATTTTGGTATGCGTGACTGAGATACATTCCTAAAAAATACGGCCTAGACCTAACTGTATACAGTATTGTTTTGTAATTATAGCCTAATTGTTATTCAATTATTATTCATTTCAAAAATAGGCCTATGTATTTGAGAATTATAATAAAAGGAGAGCTAAGTCTGTGGTGTTTTACACTCTTCATCCTCGCCATGTCACTATCGCATCACATGTCATCAGCACGTACTGTACAGAAACCGCTCTGACAATAAGAAAAGTACATGCAGAACGTTATCTTTTTATTGCCGGTCCCTAATATTGTGGTCTAAAAGCACAATTATGGGCCATCTCAGGCGTATCCACGGGGGTTGGGGGGAAGCGCAAAATCACGGTCAAGTACTTAAAAATCACCTAAAATCACCTTTTTTTTTTCTTTTTTTTTAAAGGCAGTTTTGTTGATGGTGGATAATGAATAGCAAAACCTGGTGGTTGTGTGTTCGATTCCCACACGAACCATTTTTTTTAAAGGCAGCTTAGTTGATGGTGGATAATGAATAGCAAACCTGGTGGTTGTGTGTTTGATTCCCGCACGAACCAATTTTTTTTTTTTTTTTGGTCCGACGTCGGTAAACGTTTGAAATTTACAACCTATAACCAACGTCGGCCCAACTGTTGTCACCAACCTCCACTAACGTTTTCCGATGTCGGGCCAACAAAGTACCGTGACGTTGGGACAACGTCTATAATCACATCCTAGTATTTATTACAAACTCTTACCAGCATCGGACCAACAGTTGTAACCAACCTCCATTTAAAACGTTTACCAACGTCGGGCCAATAGCGTACTGTGACGTTGCGACCCCGTCTATAATCACATCTAATATTTACAACCTCTAACCAACGTCGGCCAAACGGTTGTAACTAACCTCCATTCCAAACGTTTACCGACGTCGGGCCAACAGCGTTCTGTGACGTTGAGACAAGGTCTGTAATCACATCTAATATTTACAACCTCTAGCCAACGTTGGGCCAACGGTAGTACATCTTTTTAGTAGTTTGCCGACGTCGGGCCAGTAACAAATCGTGACGTTGTACCAACGTCCATAGTCAGACTGAATATTTACGACGGCTTACCAACGTTGGGACGACATCGGAATCGACAAATATATTCATACGTTGGGCCAACGTGAAATTCCAATGTTGGTTTGACGTTACCTCTCCGACCAAATTTTGCAACCAATCTCCAACGTCGTACCAACGTCAGATATCCGACCCCGACGCTTGCCAACGTCGCTTTGCTAGCTGGGCCACCATGTTTTATTGATATATTTTATTTATTACAACTAATTTCCTTTGGGCCTCTGTATATTACATGAATTTGGAAACTAAAATGTATAAAAATGTGTTATTTCACTCATATATGGACAAATTAATATCAGCCCAGTCGTTAATTTTCTTTATTTATTCACTCACTCGTTCACTCCTCTTATATATTTTATTATTTTATTTACATTTATTTACCCATGCCTTAACATTTAAAACAATTTCAAATGAGCCTTTGTGTATACATGAAGTTGAAAACTAAACGATATAGTAACATGCTATTGAATTTAATTTAGATCTAACCTAGGTAATGCCTTTGCAAATTCTAAATTCTTGAAAAGAACTGACTCAAATTTGAAAGAATTTAGGAGTCATAGTTCACAAGTGTATATATGTTATAACGCATTACATTGCTTGTTTCATTGCAACAGTACAATGGGTGTCTGGTAAGTTCGAATACCAAAGCTCTGATCTGCATCATTATAGAACGTTCCCCTGAGAAACCGAGTATACATTCTATAGGTGTTTAAATGTTCAAGGTGGGCTGTTTCCGGCTTTAGATTTTTTAAAGTGGAACAAACGAAGGCCTAGCTGTTTGATTTGTATAAAAAGCAAATATGACCTATTGAGTTTATGTAAAATAGTATATACATGTACAGTATTGGCCTTTTCAGAAAAATATAGGTAGGCCTCACATGCTAAAGAAAGAATAATGAACCAAAGATGGTTTGGAATCACACTATGCAAAACAATCTAATAAAATAAAGCTGTAATGGGAACATGGACATTGACAAATATTTTTATTACATTAATAACTATTATAATATACTTTTATAACTTATAATTTAATCACCACTTATTTCTTGTTTTAAAGTGCATTTCACTTTCAAAATCAATTCCAGACTAGTCCCGTCACACACACACACCTCAAAAACAGCTTAAGAGGACAACTATAAATTAGAGTTAGATTTCATTTCGTTTCAGAATAAAGTTTCGGTTTAAATATATTATTTAATCCTGTAGCTTAAAATACGCAAGTTAATTCGATACTACAGACACAGCAGGT